TATAATGTCATATGGTCTTTGCATGGGATCCACCCAAATTCCTAATCAAATCTTGTCTGGCGTGGATTGTGCCCTAACAATCGAGGATCTGATTATGTCAGATTTCCACCATGATGCCAAAAATAGAAATGGGAATCTTTTAGGTTTGTATATTTTTGTGAGGCTGAAACTCACTGTCACATCCCTGATCACATTGGTGAATTTCAGTCAGGCAGCCTAACTGCAGAGATGAACTTTTGAAATATTTGAGAAAATAACATAGGGACTATTTGAAACTGATTTTCGAACGCTTTTCAAAACGATGTTCTGAGCTGAATTCAGGAAAACGTTACAGATGAAAAAGGATTCAGAATATTTTGGATTACATTTTCCGCAACAGTATTTCCTGATTTTATTTCTGTCAGACTCTCATGTTTTGTTTTTTTTAAAAAACGTGCCAAGGAAAGGTATTGCTTTGATTTTTTTTCTCTCTCAAGCTCTTACACTCTTTTCCAAAGAAGGCTATAAAGGTTTAGTGCTGGACCTGCCTGGAGACATGGCGAAGTCGGTGGAAGAAGGCCTGGAAGATGCCATCAACAGTAGCTAGATGGGACAAGCGAGCCTTCCATGGCACACCATGGATAAAAATGCAGGCACAAAATTGAACAAACTAGCACAGTGATGGCCCTGCCCCTGCTCCACCCCTTGCCCTGCCCCCACCCTGCCTGCCCGCAGGGCCACTCACCGCCTCCAGGGCCCGCTGCAGATCACCCAGGCAGCCTAGCAGCGCCATGGTGGCCACGCCCTTTCCCTGCGCCCTGCAGCATCAACTGTGTGCGATGGGGTATGAGGGCAGAGTCTTGTCTACGCTGCCTGACTGCCATGTCCTTGGCTGCGCTGCTCCGCGTGGGCCACGCTTGGGGGCAACTCTCCTCCAGGCTGCTGGTGAGGGGGTCGCAGGAGGAGGCAAGGTTGGGGCAACGGCATATGTGTCCACAGAGAGGGCTCCGAGTGCATAAGTCTTTAAAGATCCATCTTTTTTACCCATTGGAAAAAAAAACTAGAGCGGTTTATAGATGTAAAATATGCATGATTACATGATCACCCTTGTTTGAAACAGTTGTGTGCAGGTAGTCCTCAACGTATGACCACAGTTGTGCCCCAGATTTATGTTGCTGAATGAGAGAGTTGGTAAGTGAATTTTCCCACCTTTTACGACCTTTCTCGCCAGAGTTTTTAAGTGAATTATTGCAGGTGTTAGTAACATGGGTGTTAAGGGAATCTGGCTTCCCCATTGACTGCTTGTCAGAAGGTCGGAAAAAGGGATCATGTGATCTCCGGGACACGGCGACCATCATAAATATGAGTCAGTTGCCAAGCATCTGAATGTTGATCGTGTGGGCATGGGGATGCTGAAATGACGGTGTCAGTCATTAGTCACTTTTTCAGTGCTGTTGTAACTTTGAACAGTCACCAAATGACAGTCACCAAGAGCTAAGGTGGCGCAGCAGTTAGGGTGCAGTACTGCAGGCCACTTTAGCTGACTTGTGTTCAGCAGGTCAGCGGTTCAAATCTCACCGGCTCAAGGTTGACTCAGCCTTCCATCCTTCCGGGGTAGGTAAAATGAGGACCCAGATTGTTGGGGGCAATGTAAATATATATATACATTGCTTACTGGTGTACACCGCTTAGAGCAGTGGTTCTCAACCTGTGGGTCGGGACCCCATTTGGGGTCGAACGACCATTTCACGGGGGTCGCCAAACAACGCAGTCCGCCATTTCCCCCCCTTTTCCTTAGCTGTGCTACTCCCTTTTATTCTATTGGCTTTTGAAAGCCAATAGAATAGACTCTCTTGAATAAAGTCTAATTCTATTGGCTTTCAAAAGCCAATAGGAATTGTCCAGGCTGTCTCTGCCCTGCTGAGCCCGCCAAAAGTCCCATTCTGCAAACGGTGCTGCACCAGTTGAGTAGTCCTCAACTTACAACCGGTTGAGTAGTCCTCGACTTATGACCGGTTGGGGGTCGGGGCATTAAAAAGGTTGAGAACCACTGGCTTAGAGAGTGCTCGCACTTAAAGTGGTATATAAGTCTCATAAATAAATAAATAAACCGTTGTAAGTCAGGGACTACCTGTAAAACTTTACATACACATAAGGTTGTCTGAGAAGCCTTTACATACATACATTTTGTTTTGCTCTCCTTTTTCTTATTCTATTTTTGTGATTTAAAAAAAAAAATTAGGAAAAGCTTTTTCACGCTGAAGCCTGGGACCAGTGCCCCAACACGGGTGGGCATAGCTCAGAGTGGACTTTAAGTGGAGGCTAAGCAGCCATCTGCTGTGCAGGCTTTAATTTGGTCCTTGTTCTGGACAGCCGGTTGACCTAAATGATCCTTTTTAATCCTCCGATTCTATTTTTTAAAAAGTCTTTACAATCCTTGAGGCATCACAAGATTTACTTCTTAAGAAGGCATCGATCTTCCCTAACAGGACTCTTGTCAGATCCAGAACATCCCTCACACACACGAAACTGGGACTGAATTTCTCAGAATCCCTCACACACACACATGAAACTGGGACTGAATTTCCCAGAATCCCTCACACACACGAAACTGGGACTGAATTTCTCAGAATCCCTCACACACAATGAAACTGGGACTGAATTTCCCAGAATCCCTCACACACACATGAAACTGGGACTGAATTTCCCAGAATCCCTCACACACACACGAAACTGGGACTGAATTTCCCAGAATCCCTCACACACACATGAAACTGGGACTGAATTTCCCAGAATCCCTCACGCACACACATGCACACACAAAATTGCCCAGGGTGGAATTGGGAAAAATACCAAGTCCTGCTTCTGAGAAAATTTAGTGATACAGTATATTAAAATGGAATTAATTAAGGGATAGTGGCTTACCCAAATCGGATTTATTTTACCCAATTCATCACAACATCTAACATTCAGGATACATGTCTTATCTATTTAAATTCTCATCATCTTACATTAACTAATTAATAATATACAATATAACATTCTTATTTTCTAGTAATTTCCAAATAAATTTAGTAACCAAAATTTCTCTTATTTCAACGTTTAATACTTCCTCTCTATTTCTCTTAATATCTACTATCTCATATTTAAGCTAGTATTTTTATTAGCGCTAAGTAAAAACATATTTATTACATTTATCAATAGATTTTTAGCTTACGTATACCTTAATTACCTTTATATTTAACCTTTATAGGGAAATCAATGTTCGAATTTAACTGTTAATATTTATACTTCCAAGTTTTAAATGACTAGTTTTCTTTATCTCAACCCATAACAATATCCAGTATTCAAAATACACATCTTATTTGTTTGAATATATTCTATTTTAATTCTCACTAAGTCAAAACCCCAATTTTCTTCAGTCTTATTCTAGCTTTCTTTGTCAAATCGTCTTCCATGTCCGTGCTTTTGAGTCATCAAATAAATCTCCCTGTTGTTATGTATATTGTTTGACGTAGAAAAAGCCATCCGTTCACCATTTTGAGAGGATTAACAAATTGTCTATTTTTCCATCTCGACATAGTTGTCCTGAACTGTTCTTCTCTTTAGTCTGTTCTTCTTGATCCTCAGGTTTCTTCTGATTTATATAGGAAGTCTTTTCCCTTTCCCATGTTGTCAGTCTCTTTTCTGGATTTTCCATTAACTGTGTTTGTTGATCAATTGAATCTTCTGTCATAATATTTAATTGTTCCACTTTTTCTATTATATTCTGTGTAGTTGATTTTTTAGTTGTAATCAAAGTTTGAGTTCGTATATCTGAGCTGACATCTTGTTCTTTTCTATAACTTCTTATTTCATCAATAAGAAGTTATAGAAAATAACTTAATAGCTGTAAGAATAGTTTCATAAATTGCTTTCAACCTGCCTCCAGAAGCGGTGAATGCTCCAACACTGGAAGTTTCAAAGAAGAGACTAGACAGCCATTTGTCTGAAATGGTATAGGGTTTCCTGCCTGAGCAGGGGATTGGACTAGATGACCTCCAAGGTCCCTTCCAACTTTATTATTATTATTATTATTATTTTCATCCATATTCTTAGTAGTGTATTAAGCTTTATAATCAGAGAATGTAAAAAAAATTTTGTTACTGACTATAGAACAGAGCTGGGCTTCTCACAGCTGATATCTCAAGGTTACAAGTATTATCTATAGACTGGGCTACTGGCCAAGTCTCTTTTAAGCAATAACAAATTGTAATATCAGGTTTAGCCACAAGATGTCACCCATACCATTTAGAGTTTTCTTTTAAATCCAAAATTTTTATAATCTTTTCAATTTTACTTCTTTTTTGTAAGTAAAAACCCAGATCTTCAGTAAGAATAAAAAATCTTTTAATCCACAAACTTGGGATAGAATCTCCCTTCCCTCTCTACAGGAGGGAAAGTACTTTGAGTAGCTTATGCAGGTAAAGATTTAAGAGAGGTAGATCTCACCCAGTCTTATCCGCGCTGCTTTAAAGTTGCCAGATGGTAAATGTGACTTCAGCTGTCTGCAGCCTAATGACGAGCCATATTTGTATGGCCGGTCTTTCATCCGCCGGTTTGGAGGGCTGCCCAGGATCGAGCGGAAGAGCTACCGCCCTCCCGTGATCAAGTGGGGATCCCCTCCTTGCTGGCTGCCCTTACAGGGCAGCTTTCGACCCTTTCCAGGGTCCCCCAGCGAAGCAAAACTGAACATGGAAGACGGAGCTCGCCTTTCAGATGTCCATGGCAGCCGTGTCGGCAAACCGGAAGCCTATTATTAAATTTGTTTGCCATTCATCTGATCACAAAATATTGTGCTTCAATGTTAAATAAGAATATTTGCAGGCTTATTTATTAAATGTATATGTCACCTGTTTGAGGTGACTCTGGGCTGGTTTAAAATGTCTGCAACCCACTTGGGAGCATGGAAGCCAAAAGGTGACTTATTCTTCTAAACCAGCCTAACACGATGCTTATAAATGAAAGGAACATTCTGGAGGTTTCAAAGTTGCAAAAAAATTTTTATTGTTGAATGCATCAATAAGCTTTCCCGAATCTGTCACAATATACAAGCAAACAGGATTGTGACTCCTACTACATCGTATTCCCCTCCCCCCCCCGGTTTCCATTCAAAGCTAGTAATTCTCCAACCATTTTTTAAAAGGAATTGCATAAGCTAGTAACTCCAGTCCTGATCTCACCCAGTAGCAGCTCCCATTATACCAGGGTCCTCCAACCTTGGCAACTTTTAAGATGTACGGATTTCAACTCCCAGAATTCCCCAGCCAGCATAGTACAGAGGGATTCTGGGAACTGGAGTCCACATGTCTTAAAGTTGCAAGGTTGGGAAATTTTGCATTAAACGGACTGAGAATTGCCCGGATTAGGATGGGTTTTACCATCTTCCCAGAATCATGAAAAACAAACTTGGTCAAGTGATTCTTCTTGTCTCTCAATATTTGTAATGTCGGCCATCAGGCGAAAAGCAGAACCTCCACGTGAAGAGGTAGGATACCCGTGCACCTCAGTAGCTTCAGGGCTCAGGGACAGTAGAAACCTACTTCTAGGCCTCATGGCTTGTTGGATGGGTTTCCTAGAAACAGCCAGTTATGAGAAACAGACTGCTGGGCTACACAAATCAACAGTCCATTCCCCCCCCCCCCGATTTTTTTCTGCTCTCTGAAATCTTCCTGTATTGGAGACTTTTTTTCATCCTTTCCCCAGCCTAAATTACAACCCTGAGATTTCCTAACAGTCTCTCTTCCATGTACTAACTAGATCCAACCAGGCTTAGTGTTTTACGATCTGCTTGTTATTGACACCCATTAAAAAAAAAAATCAAAGTTTAAAAAAAAAACGAGGAAGGCTCGATTCTTGTATTACAGTGAGAATAGTTTTAAAAAATTGAAGGGGGGAGGGAAGAAGCCGAGGATAGCTAAAACAGGAAAATGTCTGGAGCTGCAAATCTGAATTAAAAATCCAGTCAAGCAGTTATGACTTAAAGTGGCTGTCCTTCTAAATCAAAGCTGGCTGAGGAATTCTGGGAATTGAAGTCCACAAGTCTTAAAGTTGCCAAGGTTGAGAACCCCTGTTCTAAATCAATCCCCGTCCTACTCAATCTTGTGCATTTTTACAATTAGGCTGCTCTTGACAGATCGCAGCAAGGAGCTGTATTTTTCAAGACAGTCTACTTCGCTGCCCCAAAGTATTTTTTTTTAAAGCTTTCCCCCCTAATGTTTTGCCCCAAACTGGCTCTCTGCCATTCCTCCTCTGGATTCTTTCAATCTTTCCCCTTGACAACTCAACCCACTCAGCTCTTTTGACTGTTTTCTTGTAGGACTTGGTGACTACATCCAAGCCATGAGCTGAGCCGGTAATACCAACTGGGGCTGGTTTGCTTGCTCTTCAGACTTTAAGCTACTTGGGAAAGGGAAAAAAGCATAGATCTTTCTGTGTAGGAGAAGAGCATTAGCATCTGCTAAAAACAGCCACTGACCTTGGCAGAAACACCGAGTGCAGATTAAAATAAAGATGAGGAAGCTGGAAGTCTTGTTTCTGCTCAGGTGAGGCTGTTGTAGAAAGATAAAAGGCCGAAGGCCTTTGCCCAAGCTGAAATAGTCTCACAGCCACAATCCTCCAATGTCGCACTCAATTCCACACTAGGTGAAGCCTGTGAAAGATTTTATTTGGAGTGTATTTACCAAGAGGTGGTCCTTTAAGAGTGAGACATGCCCACTTAATAACATACCTCAGGGCAAGCCTATCTTAGTCTTAACTAGTCTTTGGGTTGTGTAACAAAGTCAGGACAGAGAGAACCAAGCCGAGATTTATGCTCAACAATTACAGTGTCCCTTTTACCATTTCTTGGGTGGGCATATTAATAATACAACTCCATCATTCCCCGCTTCTTACTTTCTTGGACTTTTCGCTTTTTTTCCTTACTTTGGATTAAGTGGAGGGGAAAAAAAGTTAAATTTTTTAACACTGTATATTTTAGATAGCTGTCCCACTCACACTTGACATGGAATCATGTGGCATCGCTTAACGGGGAACCTAAGACACAAAACATGAAAAGTCTATTATGACACAAAATTAAATTTCTTAAAAAAAGCTGTTCACCTTTTTAAATACTAAACAATTATTGTAATTCACGGCTCATTCCAAGCCTTTTCTTGAAGTGTCTATGAAGTCAAAGTGAGTTTTGAATTCTGCCGTGAAGAGGAGAAACAGACTTGTGATGGGACGACGTGAATTCTCTTCCTGACGAGGAGTAGAGACCAAGAAGGGTTATGCAACGCAGAAGGGGACAAAAACCTTGGAAAAACGGATGCGTTTATCTGAAATAGTTATCCTATTGGCTGACAGCAGAGAACAGACCGACCCCCTTCCTACACTACAATGTTCTCCAGTCTCCGGAGAACGTTTCTGAAGTTCCCAAATGCTCAAAAGGACGTCAACACCCAAGACCAGGGGGGAGAGACAATTGTTAAGAAGACGGTAGAGTCAGCAGCTCGCCCGAAAACAAGACAGTTTACTGTTGCTGGGTGTTTGATCTGCAGAAGTCAAGCAGCATCAACTTCTTGTTTGGAGGCTGCTCGTCACTGCAGATCCAACCGTGCTGGCAGGCAGGTCCACCAAGTTGACCTTCTCTGCTGCCCGAAGGGAGAGGATTCATCGGAGGAGAGGTCCAACGGGGTCTTGAGGTGCTATCTTGTTTCACGAGCGATGTTCACTGTGCAAGCATGTGCGTAACTCAAACTGGGAAAAGAGAGGGAGAGAGGAAAAGAGAGAAGAGGGATAGGGAGAGAGGGGGGAGTGAGGGAGAGAAGAGAGAGAGGAGAAAGAGGAGAGGAAGAGAGAGGAGAGAGGAGGAGAGGGGAAGAGAGGAAGACGAGAGGGAGAGGCAAGAGGAGAGAGAGGAGAGGGAGGGAGAAAGAGGAGAGACGGGAGAGGGAGGGAGAGAGACAAGAGGGAGAGGCAAGAGGAGAGAGAGAGGAGAAAGAGGGAGAGGAGAAAGGAGAGGGAGGAGACGGGGAGAGGAGAGGGAGAGAGATGAGGGGCAGAGAGAGAGAGGAGAGATGGGAGAGAGGGATAAAGACAAGAGGGAGAGAGGCAAGAGAGAGAGGAGAAAGAGGAGAGGAAGAGAGAGGAGGAGAGAGGAAGACGAGAGGGAGAGGCAAGAGGAGAGAGAGGAGAGGGAGGGAGAAAGAGGAGAGACGGGAGAGGGAGGGAGAGAGACAAGAGGGAGAGGCAAGAGGAGAGAGAGAGGAGAAAGAGGGAGAGGAGAAAGGAGAGGGAGGAGACGGGGAGAGGAGAGGGAGAGAGATGAGGGGCAGAGAGAGAGAGAGAGGAGAGACGGGAGAGAGGGATAAAGACAAGAGGGAGAGAGGCAAGAGAGAGAGGAGAAAGAGAGGGGGGAGGGGAGAGAGAGAGAGAGAGAAAATCAGACATACCTTTGCATGCCCAGATTAGGTATTTCCTGTGTAGGTGCACCAATATCCCAACTCCTGATCTCCCCAACTTAGCTTACTTCCGAGAGCACGGCCCTACAGGAAATATTGGGGCCAGTTTTGCCTTCGTTCGGAAGGCTCTTAAAACAAACATAAAACTGAAGCCAGAGGTTTTTATTAGATTTTTTAAAATTGGATAAAAATTGGAACTATCGTAACGTTGACTGCAGCAAGAAACCTATGTGGGTAAAAAAAATGAAAACACAATTTGGAAAGACTGATAGCCACAGCACTTAAGACTTACGTACCACTTCACGGCGCTTTTACAGCCCTCTCTTAAGCGGTTTACAGAGTCAGCGTGTGGCCCCCTCAGCCCTCTGGTTCTTCATTTTACCGACCTCGGAAGGACGGAAGGTTGAATCAACCTTGAGCCGGTCAGGATCGAACTGATAACAGTTGGCAGGACTAGCTTGCAATGCTGCATTCTAGCCACTGAGCCACCACGGCTCATGAAGTCAGAGATGAAGGAGGCAGAGAGGGTAAAACTGTTTTAATTAAAGTTACTTACTAAATACGGAAAGCAAGAGTTGAGGTGGTAGCTGTATTTAGTGTTTTACCACACCCAAAAAAGTTGTGGTTTTTTTCTTTCTCTCTTACTTTGTGCCTCTCTCCCTTTCTTTACCTTCTCCTACTCCCTCATTGCAGGTAGTCCTCAATTTACAACAGTTTGTTTAGTGACTGTTCAAAGTTACAATGGCACCGGAAAAAGTTATGACTGTTTTTCACACTTTCGATTGTTCGCCCGCAGGGTGAGATCAAAATTCAGACGCTTGGCAACTGACTCATATTTATGACGGTTGCATTGTCCCAGGATCGTGCGATCCCCTTTTGCGACTGTCTGACAAAGTCAACGGGGAAGCCAGATTCACTTCACAGACGTGCTACTAAGTGAGCAACTGCAGAGACTTTCTTAACAGCTATGGCGAGAAAAGTCGTAAAGTGGGGCAAGCTCTCTTAACCATCTCACCTAGCGGTAGAAATGTCAGGCTCAATTGTGGCCATAAGCCAAGGACTACCTGCGAATTTGTTTCTATTTGTATTTGATAATAAGCTTCAATTAAACACTTTTAGAAAAACAGCACTGACTTCTGTAGCGTACCCCACTCACAAATTCATCTTTTTAGGGAAAACTTTTATCACACCCAGCACATTCAAACACAGGCTGGAAACGTCTGTGACAGGGGTAGGCAGCCTTGGCTCCTTTGACTCGTGGACTTCAACTCCCAGCATGCCTCAGCTTGGAAACCTCTCCCTTTCCCCCAGCATGGCTGGCTCAGGAATTCTGGGAGTTGAAGTCCACGAGTCATAAAAGAGCCAAGGTGGCCTACCCCTGGTCTATGGAGCTTCTCTATCATCCATGGTTGTCCCAAAGGTGTTTTTTTCAGGAGGCAACTGGACTTTCTTGTTTTTCTTTGAAGACATTTTGCTTCTCATCCAAGAATCTTCTTCAGGGCAGAAAACATCCTGCAGCCAAGAAGGGTCCACACCCTTTTGCCATACTCAGGTGACCCTGATGATACAGGTAAGCCTCCAGGTGGCCTCAATGACTCTAAAAGGATACAAATATACAAACGCTTTCAGCCATCCTCACCATTCTCTGCACCGCCTTCCTGACTGAAGCAGAGATGCTTCTAAACCAGACTGTGATGCCATATGAAGAGGATGCTCTCGATCGTCCCTTTGTAGAAAGTGGTAAGGACGGGAAGGAAGATGTGCTTTTCTTATGCGATGCAGAAAATGCAGGAAAAGCACATCTTCCTTCCCCCTGTCCTTACCACTTTCTACAGAGGGACGATCGAGAGCATCCTCTTCATACTGCGTCAACAGTCTGGATTGGAAGCATCACCACTTCAGACAGGAAGGCGGTGCAGAGAGTGGTGAGGATGGCCAAAAAGATTATTGGCAGTTCCCTCCCTCCCATCCAGGACATAGCACAGAAGCGTTGCTTGTGCAGGATCCGCAATATTGTCTGGGACATTACACATCCTCTTCACGGCCTGTTTTGTTTGTTCCCTTCTGGAAGGAGGGGGCTCCGTGGTATCTGAAGCAGAACATCCAGACTCAGTCACAGTTTTGTGCCATACAGTATTAACCTTGTGAATTCTAAAGCTTCCTCCTTCCGTTATGTATTCAAGATGGACAGGGATTAATATTTATATGTTACTTAAATGTAAGGGTGTAGGTCTATACCAGTGGTTCTCAACCTTTTTAATGTCGCGACCCCCAACCGGTCGTACGTCGAGGACTAAACCTGTCATAAGTTGATGACTAAACCAATCGTAAGTCGAGGACTACCCAACCGATCATAAGTTGAGGACTTTCTCTGCCCGGGAGTGCCGCGCATGCGTGGTGCCGCCCCCTGCGCCGGCTGAGGCGTAGCTGGCAAGTGGCAGAGACAGAGCAGGCCGACCACCGGCTGGGCCACCAGCTGGCCCAGCCCAAGGGAGGTAAGGCACCCACCGAAAAAGGGAGAAAAAGTGGCGGACAGCCTTGCTTGGCGACCCCCTTGAAATGGTCGATCGACCCCAAATGGGGTCGCGACCCATAGGTTGAGAACCGCTGGTCTATACATATGTTGTATATAGTATGTTTAAATGTGTGTGTTTTACGTATGTGTACACTTTGAGAGCAAGCAACAGAATTTTATTTTTAATGTGTGCCATTGTCTCCACAGTAAAAAATGACTATAAAGGTTCATTTTTTCTCTCTCTCTCTCAAATGTCCAGCTCTCTGCCAAAAATATAAATCCTTCTATTCCCCACCATCCAATCAGAGCTGAAATGAAACGTCTTAAAAAACAAACAAACAAAACAAAACAAAAAACGAGAAAGTCCAGTTGCCTCCTGAAAAAAAGCACCTTTGAGACAGGCTGAAAACCTTGAATTTTTCTAACGCACCCTGAGGTAATCTTCTGGAAACCTTGAATTTTTCTAGCACACCCTGAGGTAATCTTCTGGATACCTTGAATTTTTCTAATGCACCCTGAGGTAATCTTTCCGAAAGAAACCTTTTCTACCCTCAGCACAGTGGATTCACCCCTGTTGGGAGAGATCTGGTACCTGGCCAACTTACTCTTCTCTCTTAGGAAATCATTTCTGGCATTCCTGGCATCTGTGAGGTTTCGCTTCGGTGTGCAGGTTCTGATGCTCGGCAAGGTGACCGTCGTAGGTGAAGTTCTTCCCACACACAGTACATTCATGATGCAGCGGTTCCTTTGCTGAGACTTTTGGATCTGATGCTGCTACTTCCTGGCTAGGCGCTTTTCCTCTACTTTTAGAATAAGCAAATTTTTCTAGCCGGGCCCGGAGTGATAATTCTGGAACAACAATTTTCTCTTTCACTTCCTTCTCAGCGACGTTTTCTTTCTCTTCATTTCTACTTTCTTCCTCTTCCTTCACTTCCTTCTCGGTGACGTTTTCTTTCTCTTCCTTCCTTCTTTCTTTCTCTTCCTTCTCTTCCGTTTTCTGGGGTTTCTCGGTTGCCTTTTTCCTTTGCTGACGCTTGTAATTGCGCCAATGCTCGCGCAATGCCTCCATTTCTGAGGCGGTTGATGCCTGAAATCGGCCTCTTATTTTCTTCAGCCGGACTCGACCGGTTTTCTTCGGGGTCTCATCATCTGCCGAGACAAAGAAACAGCCTAAATGTGACACTGCCAGGGAAAGAAGGGGTGTCTCTGCAACTTTAAGAGGTATGAATGTCAATTCCCAGAATTCGCAAGACAGCATGCCTGAGAAACATTGGCCTAATGCAGGTGTAGGCAACCTTGGCTCTTTTATGACTCGTGGACTTCAACTCCCAAATTCCTGAGCCAGCCATGCTGAGGGGAAAGGGAGGTTTCCAAGCTGAGCCATGCTGGCTCAGGAATTCTGGGAGTTGAAGTCCACGAATCATAAAAAAGCCAAGGTTGCCTACCCTTGCCTAGGCAGCCATGCTGGCTCGGGAATTCTGGGAGTTGAAGTCCACGAGTCATAAAATGTGAGGGAAGGGAGAGGACCAGTTGTAAATGACTTTTTTCAGCGCCGTTGTAATTTCAAATGGAGACTAAGCAAATGGCTGTCATTTGAGGACCACCTGTATTATGCTCAATGCCAGGGGTAGGCAGCCTGGGCTCTTTTATGATTCGTGGACTTCAACTCCCAGAATTCCTGAGCCAGCCTGGCTCAGCTTGGAAACCTCTCCCTTCCCCCTCAGCATGGCTGGCTCAGGAATTCTGGGAGCTGAAGTCCATGAATCATAAAAGAGCCAAGGTTGCCTACCCCTAGCCTAATGGAATTTATATTAATAGCAATAGCACTTAAGACTTACTACTGCTTCATAGTGCTTTACGGACTAGTCTAAGCAGTTTACAGAGACAGCACATGGCTGTCAGGATTCTCATTTTACCGACTTCGGAAGGATGGGTCAACCTTGAGCCAGTCAGGATCGAACGAACAGTCAGCAGAATTAGCTTGCGATACTGCATTCTAACCACTGCACCATTGAAATACAGACCAAAAAAGCATAACATTTCCAAAAATGTTTTAAATTTCTGTCCTGTTAAACTTTCAAAAATTATACTATGGCGTTCAATACGAAGCTTATTTGGCGTTCAATACGAAGCTTATTAAGTACATTAGCCCTGTGGGATTCTATATCTATTCTTCACCTCCACCAGGTATATTTCATGGAGACTATCTATCTATCTGGTTGCTAAGTGACCTGAGGGCATACACTGGGAGTCCTTGACTTACAACTACAATTTTGTGCCAGAATTGGCTAAGGGAATCACGTGCAATTTTATACCTTTTGCCACAATCAATCATCGTATTTTCACAAAAACAAAGTCAAGTCAAGTCAAATGCCTGTTCTAAATATCTATTATTTATTAATTCAATTTCTACAGCTGCCTAACTCAGCCAAGTGATGCCTTAAAAATAATTTGGGTACAGCCATTAGTATAATTTTAAATCTGGATTTTCAATTTAAAACAATGTGCCTGTTTATTTTAGGGAGTTGGTTTTTTTTTTTTAAAGAAAACTACTTGACTTACGGCCACAACTGAGCCCAAAATTTCTGTTGTTAAGTGAATTTTGCCCTATTTTATGATTTTTCTTGTCCCAGTTCTTAAATGAATCATTGCACTTGTTAAGTTAGTAACATGGTTGTTAAGTGAATCTGGATTCTCCATTGACTTTGCTTGTCAGAAGGTAGCAAAAGGGGATCACATGACCCCCCCCCAGGGACACTGCGACCGTCATAAATATGAGTCACTTGCCAAGTTTCTGAATTCTGATCACGCGACCTCGGGAATGCTGCAATGGTCGTAAGTGTGAAAAATGGTCGTAAGTCACATTTTTTCAGTACCGTTGTAATGTTGAACGGTCACTGTTGTAAGTTGAGGACTACCTCCAGTTGTACATGGCAACTTCCCATAACTGAAGATTTATGGAAGGGACATGTGTCAAAAACACCTCTGCTCTAGGTATCTGATTTGTTAGATTTATACCTCACCTATTGTTCAGATATCTGATTTGTTAGATTTATATCTCAGCTATTGTACAGGTAGTCCTCCACTTACGACCGCTCTTTCAAAGTTACAGCAGACCTCCCTGGGATTATTTATGACCCAATGGCCACTTCCTGTCACATGACCACAGTGCGGGCACTCGGCAACCAGGCCATTTGCAGCATTCCACAATTGCGTGACCATGTTTTAGGGCAGTGGTGGCGAAGCTACCAGAGACGGCACTCAGAGTCCTCTCTGTGGGCACACGGGCCGTCGCTCTAGCCCTGCCTTCCCCCGTGGCCACCTCCTCACCAGCAGCCCTCCCGGAGGAGAGTCACCCCTGGGCGCGGCCCGCGTGGAGCAGTGCAGCCAAGAACATGGCAGCCGGGAAGCAGGGACAAGACTCCACCCTCGCGTCCCGTCACGCGCAGATGATGTTGCAGGGCGTGGGCAGAGGACGTGGCCATGACGCTGCAGGATCGCCTGGGCGATCTCCTGCGGCAGGCCGTGGAGGCGGTGGGTGGCCCTGCGGGTGGGTGGGGGGTGGGGCAGAGCGGGGCGGTTTTGGGGCACTCGGTCTCTAAAAGGTTCGCCATCACTGTTTTAGGACATTTTGCCCAAATCACTTCTTTTCAGTGCCGTTGTAACTTTGAGCGGTGACTAAATGGACTGCCATGAGTCCACGACTACCTCCATTCCAGTGGTTATCAACCTTTTTCATGCCACGACCCCCAACTGGTCGTAAATCGAGGACTACCCAACCGGTTGTAAGTCGAGGACTACCCAACAGGTTGTAAGTTGAGGACTTTCCCTGCCCGGGAGTGCCGCGCATGCGTGGTGCCGCCCCCTGCGCCGGCCGAGGCATAGCTGGCAAGGGGCAGAGACAGAGCAGGCCGACCACCGGCTGGGCCACCAGCAGGCCCAGCCCAAGGGAGGTAAGGCACCCGCCGGGCCCCACGCATGCCAGCAACCCTCCCTGCGCCCGCCGGCCTCCCACCTCCCACCCCTGGCCCTCTTTTACTTACATTTTTAGTAGTTGCTCAGCAGGGAGGGCTGGAAACTTCCAGACAGCTCACCTTCGCTGCAGACAACTTGCAGCACCGTTTGCAGACTGGGGCTTTTGGCGGGCTCAGCAGGGCAGAGACAGCCTGGACAATTCCTATTGGCTTTTGAAAGCCAATAGAATTAGACTCTATTCAAGAGAGTCTATTCTACTGGCTTTCAAAAGCCAATAGAATAAAAGGGAGTAGCACAGCTAAGGAAAAGGGGGGGAAAAAAAGGCGGACTGCGTTGTTTGGCGACCCCCGTGAAATGGTCGTTCGACCCCAAACAGGTGTCCCGACCCACAGGTCGAGAACCGCTGCTCTAGTCCCTTGTGCATCCCTTTTTTTTAAAGCTATTCTGCCTACCTGCTTATAGCTCAGGAGAAAACTACGGCTTACGCTTAAATGAACAAAGGTCCGAAATTTGGGGTGCCCACCTCTGTTTATCTCGAAATGCCTGGTGAAGGAGGGCCTCCTGATCTTAAAGCCTTCGTTGAGTGCGTGGATCCGCTTGTGCCGGGAAAGATTGGAGCTCCACTTGAAACCTTTGCCGCACTCATCGCATATGTAAGCTCTCTCCTTTTCGTTCACGTGGGCTCTCATGTGCAAGAGGTGAGTGGACAATTTGTACGTTTTGTGTCCGCACTTTGAGCAGGTGTACTTCCTCTCTCCCTGGGGGGCTTTTTTCGTCTTCACCGACTTCCCCTCCACCTTGTGTGTTTTCAGATGAAGTTTGAGGAAGGAGGGCTGGACGAAGAGCTTCTCACACTCGGGGCACCTGTAGGGCGTATCGTTCGGGTGAGCCCTCTTGTGCCGCACGAGATCGGACAGGAAATAGGTGCGATGCCCACAATCGAGGCACTCGTGTTTCTTCTCGAGACCTTCATATCGGGTTTTCTTCGTATTCTTTCTGTGACGAGCGGCTTTGCCTTTCCCGTTCTGCTCCCTGGAGCGAATTGCAGGCGAGGCCTCCACCCTGGAAGACTTGGGGGCTGGACAAACGGCACCCGGAGAGCGTTTGGAGGGCCTCTCTAGAAAGTTCCGCATACCCGCTTCTTGCCGGGGAGGCTTCTTCGCTAAGATGTTAATCAACTCCTCATCATCTGTGGGGGGGGGGAAACAGAAATGATTCAGATCACGGAAAATGGGGGCGGCGGCAAAATGAGCCCTGTTCCTACTTCGGATTTGAGAATTCGTTAAGCAGCAGCCAGGGATTTTCAAGTTTGTGTCCGCAGTCAAAATAATAATTTCTTACTCTGCGGTCAGATCTGGAACTTGCATTTTACTCTACCACCCTCAAACTCAAAACCTTTCTCCTTATTCCAGTGTTTCTCAACCTTGACAATTTTAAGGCATGTGGACTTCAACTCCCAGAATTCCACAGCCAGCATTGCTGGCTGTGGAATTCTGGGAGTTGAAGTCCACATGCCTTAAAATTGTCAAGGTTGAGAAACACTGCCTTATTCACTGTGCGGACTGAATCCCAAATGAAAGTTGCTGGCTTTTCTTCCAAAATTCCCAAGAATGGAGTGAAGTTTTGCTGGATAGCAACGGCATTAAAAGGCTCTGAGACAGAGTCTAATGGTGAATTTCCGTATACATGCTTTATTTTAAAAAAAATTCTACTGTTTTTTTTTAACTCGTGACTGCCCCAAAGCCACCCAGACAGCTTTCATGCCTAAAGTGAGACTGGAACTGGTATCTAGATCAGCAGCTTAACCACTACGACAAACTGGGTCTTCTTAACGATAGAAAGCAAGCACCTTCAGGGAGTGACCCACCACGGTGTTATCCCTTCATTATCATGGGAAATAATAGAATCATTGAAGAAAAATGGGACTTTTACAGTATATAGCCCAGGGGTAGGCAACCTTGGCTCTTTTATGACTCGTGGAATTCTGGGAGTTGAAATCCACGAGTCATAAAAGAGCCAAGGTGGCCTACCCGATATAGCCCATCAAACATTTTATTCTGAACAATATTTAATGTACACTGTGAGCTTATACACTGGAGACAAATTCCTTGTGTGTCAGATCACACTTGGCCAATAAAAATTCTATTCCATTCCATTCTATTCTATTCCATTCCGTTCTGTTCTATTCTATTCTACTCTACTCCGATTCTATTCTGTTCTATTCCAATTCGATCCCGATTTTGTTCTGTTCTATTCGATTCTGTTCTGATTCTATTCTATTTTGATACTATTCTGTTCTGTTGTGTTCTGTTCTGTTCTATTCTAATTCTATCCTATCCTATCATGAGATGTACATCTACCATTGTACATAAATGGTGAGGAGGTGGAGAGGGTGGGTAGTTTTAAATTTCTCGGCACTTATATCTCGGAGGACCTCTCATGGACTATGAATGTTAACATGCTTGTGAAGAAGAGGGAATTAAGCTATTTTCCAAAGCACCTGAAGGCAGGACAAGAAGCAACGGGTAGAAACTAATCAAGGAGAGAAGCAACCTAGAACTAAGGAGAAACTTCCTGACAGTGAGAACAATTAATCAGTGGAACAACCTGCCTCCAGAAGCAGTAAATGCTCCAACACTGGAAGTTTTAAAGAAGAGACTGGACAGCCATTTGTCCGAAATGGTGTAGGGTTTCCTGCCTGAGCAGGGGGTTGGACTAGATGACCTCCAAGGTCCCTTCCAACTTTACTACTATTACTATTACTAAGAAGGCACAGAAGAGGCTGTACTTCCTGAGAAGGCTCAGGAAGATAAATCTATCTCAGCATCTACCTCTGTCCTACTATCAGAGCACCATTGAGAGTGTCCTGACATACGGCATTCTTGCATGGTATGGGAGCAGCTCTGTAGCGGACAAAAAAGCTCTACAGAGAATTAGTAAAACTGCCCAGAATATTATCGGACTCCAGCTACCAGCCCTGGACAACATCTTCGAATCTCGCTGTTTGAGGAAGTTGCATAATATTCTCAGAGACTCTTCCCATCCTGCTTACCATCTCTTTGGACTGTTGCCTTCTGGCAGAAGATATAGAACATTTAAAACTCGGACCACACATGTCCTGAATAGTTTTTATCCCAGAGCTATAATTGCACTTAATAATTAACTAAAGGGCCACCATCAGTGAACTGTTGGACAGTATTACTTGGTCTGTTGGGTGGATGTTTGGGCGGTTTTAGGGGTGGGGAATTGTGGTGGGTGGGAGTGTGTTTGGGGATTATGTGTGTGGGACCTGGTCTTTGGGTGTCACATAAATTTCGTTGTATGTGTATACTGTATATACACATACAATGACAATAAAGTTTTATTATATTGTTTTAGCTCAGCGGTTCTCAACCTTTGGGTCGCGACCCCATTTGGGGTCGAACAACCATTTTACAGGGGTCGCCAAACAACGCGATCCGCCATTTTTTCCCCTCAGGGGGCGGCACCGTGCATGAGGGGCGGCGTGCATGAGGGGCGCTGCGCATGGGGGCGCCGCCGCGGATGCGCGGTGCTCCTTATGATCAGGGATCGCCGTATAAAAAGGTTGAGAACCACTGTTTTAGCTGATTGTTGTAATCTGCCCAGAGATGGGAAAACCTGTACATTAAAAAATCAAATTCCCAAACAATGACTTTTGCACTCTCGTGTGGAACCAGTAAGCTCTACTGACTTCAAAGACCAGAGGAGGTCAAACCAAACTCCAGCCAAGTTTTTTTTAAGACCGGCATTATTATTCCAAGATCTCGCCGTTTATGGACTTCTTTTAATTCAAAGTACAGGGAGTCCTCGACTTATGATCACACTGGAGCCCAGAATTGCTGTTGCTAAGTGAGACAGTTGTTAAGTGAGTTTTGAGCTATTATTCCCCCCCCTTTTACGACCTCAGATGTTAAGCAAATCACTGCAGTTGTTAATTTAGCAACATGACCGTTAAGTGAATCCAGCTTCTGCTGATGACTTTTGCTGGCCAGTAGATCACAAAAGCTGATCATGTGATCCCGGGACACTGCATCCATCATGACTATGAGTCGGTTGCCAAGCGTCTGAAGTTTGATCATGTGACCGTGGGGGGGGGGGAGAGAAATGCTGCAACGGTCGAAAGTGTGAAGAACAGTCGTAAGTCACTTTTTTCAAAGCCGCTGTAAATTTGAACGGCCACTAAACAAATAGTTGTAAAGGCGAGGACTAGCTGTACCATGGACTGAATTTGAGATGTACACGCCAGCAAGTTATTCTTAACTGATCTACAGGCTGCCTAGAGCAATGGTTCTCAACCTTTCTAATGCCGTGACCCCATAATACAGTTCCCCATGTTGTGGTGACTCCGAAGTGGGTGTGGCCACCAATAAGAGGGCGTAGGACAGCTAGGGAAAAGGGAAAAAAATGGCGGACAGCGTGGTTTGGCGACCCCCATGAAATGGTCATTCGACCCCAAATGGGGTCCCGACCCACAGTTGAGAACCACTGGCCTAGAGATTCTTTATTTTCCTACTTTCTGGGTCAGGGGTGTCAAACTCAATTTCATTGAGGGCCGCATCAGCATTGCGGTTGCCCTCAGGGGGCTGGGTGGGTGCGGCCTACTGGGTGGGTACAGATGGAGTGGGCGTGGGCAGATCTACATCGTTCGCGTCAAGGGTGCCTGTGGGGGCCTGGGCAGGAGTGGGACAGATCTGAGGGTCTCTGGCAGAAGGGGGTGGGACCGGGGCAAGTGCCAAGGCATGGTCCACTGGAGGAGCCTCACCGTTCCTCTCAGGACATGCGGGGGGGCAGGGGGGGCTGGATGGTGGTGCGGGCTGCCCGGAGCCCTGGGCAGCAGAGGTCAAACGCCCAGCCTGGCCCTCGAGCACCCGCGGCACCAAGTCCAGCCCCACTTCCCCAAGGGGGCGCCCAGCTGCACTTACCTCCTCCTCAAGGCTGCTGTTGCTGTGCTTGCTCTCCTTAGCCAGGTTGCTCATGATGGGTACGAGGGCAAAGTCAGAGGGAGGCCCATTCCCTCTCCATGGGAGGAGACCCGGCTTTGTATCCAAAGCTTCCTTAGCAATAGGATGGGAGACCCTCAGGATAAGCCAGGAGGAGGGGGCACAGGGATGGTGAAAGGGGCAGCAGAGTAGGACTAAGGTAGGACTTCCCTCAAACCCCCCCACCTCTCCTTTCCTTCCTTCTTTCCTAAGTACAGAGTGGTGGGAAAATATTTGAGATGAGGGAGGGAGAAAAACAGGCAAGAAACGCAGCTGGGGAGGTGACACCTCCCAGCATGCACCCAGGGAGCCGGGCCAACCCTGCAGGGGCCGGTTCCTCATTGTTTCCAGACGGCCTTGTGGAGCTAAGACTGAATGCGTTTCAGCATAGATGGCCACCACAAAATTGTACATTGGCTCCCGGCCGGCCTGGGCCAGGGCCAAAGCAGCAGGGGCCGTTCCCTCACTATTTCCAGGATGGCTTCATGGGCCACATGATACCACTTCGCGGGCCGCATCCGGCCCCCGGGCCTTGTGTTTGACAGGTCTGTTCTGGCTCAAGTCATCTGAGAGGCGTTTCACGTTTCCCACAAACGCTTCCCCGAAATGATGCGGTAACACATCCTAAACCCGATTCGCAGTTTTACCTCACAAGATGAAGGAAAAAAAAAAGGCGGGAAAAGGAGGATCAAGAGGTCTCCCGTTACCACTTGGAACGCCTCGTTTGTAGGGAAAGAAAAAAGAAAAAGCAGGCTCATAATATGTTACATTTAACATCTAGTTTCTACCTACCGCTAAGTGTCACATCGCATTCGGCAATAACGGGCGGTTGCGGACTGGCTACGTGGGTCTGCTGATGTTTTATGAGGGTTGAGAACCACCTGAAGCACTTCCCACAGTCCAGACATTTGTAAGGTTTTTCCTTGTTGTGGTTTCTGAAATGTTTAAGAATGTCTGACAATTTTTCCGTTTGGTATCCGCATTTTGTGCAGGAATGCATTTTGGTGTTCGGATGTTCGGAGGCCTCGTTCCCAGCAGCATTGCCCTCTCTTTGTTCTGTCTTCAGATAGCCCCTCAGAGAAGGTTGATCGTTGCAAGCTGGATAGGCTCCGTCCTCGTCTTCCAATTTGATGTTTTCCGGCAGAAGAGTCGCACTTCTGGATTCTTCCTCCCCTAGAAGGACAATCAACAGTTTAGATATGCAATGCTGCAAACCTTATCAACCCCAACTAATACCAGCTAATAAAGTCTGATCAGCTTGTTAATAATAATAATAATAATAATAATAATAATAATAATAATAATAATAATAATAATGATGATAGGAAGACCAGAAAAATAATGACAATGAATCATGCCCTTCATCCACGCAGTGACATTGACAAACTTTATCTACCAAGGCAAATAGGTGGGTGTGGAATGCTACAAATACATCAGATGGTTGAAGAAGAAAAAAATGGCTTTGGAAGAATATCTGAAGAACAATGATGAAGATGCACTGAAATTAGTATATCAGGAAGGCTTACTAACTACTGGAGAGACCAAACTGGCCTACAGGAAAGACCAAATGAAGAACAGAATAGAGGCATGGGAAGACAAAGCACTACAAGGCCAATACATGAAAAAAATAGCCGGGAAAGCAGATATTAACAAGACCTGGCAATGGCTAAGAGCAGGAAAATTGAAGAAAGAGACCGAGGGACTAATTCTGGCTGCACAGACCAAGCCTTAAGGACAAATGCATACAAAGTCAAAATTGAGAAGACAGCAAAAGACAGTAAGTGCCGCCTATGCAAAGAAGCTGAAGAAACAGTGGACCACTTGGTAAGCTGTTGCAAGAAGATTGCACAGACTGACTACAAGCAGCGGCATGACAAAATAGCAACAATGGTGCCTTGGAAGATCTGCAAAAAATATCATTTGCCTGTAAGCAAAAACTGGTGGGATCATAAATAGAGAAAGTCATAGAAAATGATAAAATTAAACTGCTCTGGGACTTCAGAATTCAAACAGACAAGCACCTGCAACATAACACCCCAGACTTAACAATTGTCGATAAGAAAGACAAAAAAGTCTGGATAGTGGACGTGGCAGTGGCTGGAGACAGCAGAATAGACGAGAAAGAACTGGAGAAGATAACAAAATACAAAGACCTACAAATAGAAATAGAAAGACTGTGGCAAAAGCAAGCAAGGGTAGTACCAATAGTCATAGGCTCCTTGGGTGCAATCCCAAAACAACTGGAGCACCACTTGAACACCATTGGCATTGCCAAATTTGCTATTAGTCAATTGCAAAAGGCGGCCTTATTAGGAACTGCTTCCATCTTGCGACGATATCTGTAATACCATCAAACATCCACATCTGCCTATCCCAGGTCCTGGGTAAAGACTTGATAGGTAGACAAAATGCCAAATCCAGTCTGAACATCTGGCTGACTGTGCGATGATCCATAATAATAATGATGATGATGATGTTGGAAGGGACCTTGGAGGTCATCTAGTCCAACCCCCTGCTCAGGCAGGAAACCCTATACCAGGGGTAGGCAACCTTGGCTCTTTTATGACTCGTGGACTTCAACTCCCAGAATTCCTGAGCCAGCATGGCTCAGCTTGGGAACTTCTCCCTTTCCCTTCGGCATGGCTGGCTCAGGAATTCTGGGAATTGAAGTCCACGAGTCATAAAAGAGCCAAGGTTGCCTACCCCTGCCCTATACCAATGATGGCAAACCTTTTAGAGACCGAGTGCCCAAACTGCAACCTAAAACCCACTTATGTATCATCGGGTGCCGAGTGGGTGTGGCTCATTGGGTGGATGTGGCTTCGGTGGTAACGGCAGACTGGGTGGGACTAAAAATTTTAATCAATCAATTCCAACTTTGCGAGATCTTTTTTTTCCCATGAGAAGTTGAAATTGATTGATTGATCTTTTTTTTTTTTTGTACATGGCGGCGGAGGCCTAAAGTGAAAAGATTTTATAAAAACCAGCTGAAGGTCTAGGACTGTGGCGACGGCGCGCGTGCCCATAGAGAGGGCTCTGCGTGCCACCTGTGGCACACGTGCCATAGGTTCGCCACCACGGCCCTCTATCATTTCAGACAAGTGGCTGTCCAGTCTCTTCTTAAAAACTTCCAGTGTTGGAGCATTCACCGCTTCTGGAGGCAAGTTGTTCCACTGGTTAATTGTTCTAACTGTCAGGAAATTTCTCCTTAGTTCTAGGTTGCTTCTCTCTTTGGTTGGTTTCCACCCGTTGCTTCTTGTCCTGCCTTCAGGCGCTTTGGAGAATAGCTTGACTCTCTCTTCTTTGGGGCAGCCCCTGAGATATTGGAACACAGCTATCATGTCCCCCCTCGTCTTTCTCTTCATTAAACTAGACATACACAATTCTAGCAGCCGTTCTGTTGGTTCCAGTCAGTGAAAGTAACGCCGTGAAGTGAATGCCATAACTAAACTTTCGCCTCTCATCCAAGAAGCTTCTTCAGTTCTTCAGAAGAAGCTGAAGAAGCTTCTTGGATGAAAAGCAAAATGTCTCAAAGAAAAACGAGAAAGTCCAGTTGCCGGGTGAAAAAGCACCTTTAGGGCAACCACGACCTGAATGACGGAGAGTCTCCACAGACCAGGGGTAGGCCACCTTGGCTCTTTTATGACTGGTGGACTTCAACTCCCAGAATTCCTGAGCCAGCCCTGCTGAGGGGAAAGGGAGAGGTTTCCAAGCTGAGCCAGGCTGGCTCAGGAATTCTGGGAGTTGAAGTTCACGAGTCATGAAGGGGCCATAGTTTCCCCATGCTGGTTCAGGAATTCTGGGAGTTGAAGTCCACGAGTCATAAAAGAGCCAAGGTGGCCTACCCCTGCCATAGACAAACCTGGGAATGTTATCAATCTAAAAACACTTTTTTTTTTTAACCAATTGTCTCTCAAGGCAAGACAGAGCAAAAATGGTTTAGCTGAAATCTTAAAAGCTTGTAGAAAGTCCTTGGGAATTGTTCTAATTTATTAACGATACATATATATTTGCCTTTCAGAACAAAAGTCCATCTAAATAAAGCCATGGAAAATAAAATGACCTTTGGATCAAAAGAAGGAAAAAGTACTTGGCCTTCATTCGCCTGCTTTTCGGGAAGATTAAAAAAAAACAACAACAATTCAGTAGGACAATATAAATCAAATGCGTTTTTTTTTTTGAAAACCTATTTAAGTGATTATGCATTTCTCTACCTGCCATTAATTTACTGTTAATTTTCATTTCAAAGGTCTTGATCTTCTAAGCCCGGAAACCCAACGTCGGCCCGATATAATCTATAATTGATTGCCGAGAGAAATAAAGTGCACTGCTACATAAAGACCGATGGATTTTCTCACCACCTAACCAAGATTTTACTGTTAAGCGTTCAGTCATAAAGAGGAAAAAACAGGAATGTTGGCAAAGATCAAAACCAATTGCTCAGATGAAGTACAAAGGGCAACATGACAAAAGACAAGAGAGAAGAAAGAGAAGGGAGAACGTTTTAAATTAATTATCCGCTGGGTCATCACACCTACCTCTACAGGCAATTTTCTCCTCTGCAAAAATGGCATCGCAAATAATGGGCCTCGGTTTACGACATGCAATGCCGTTCTGATGCCGATAAAGATGATACGGCTTTCTGAAGGCTTTCCCACAATCAGAGCAATCGTAGGACCTCTCTCCCGGGTGGGCTGTCCTGTCTTTAATGGTTTTGGAAAACTCGGGAACTCTACGGTCACCATCGGGGCCCTTGTATTGCCCTTTCTGAGGGCTTGGGAGTTTCTTCAGCATCACTTTTAAGGTTTTCAGCCCATTCGGATGTGGCCTTGAAACGGGGTCAGAATCGCTGACAGCACTCAGCAAAACTGTGGAGCGCGCTCCTAGCAATTCCTGCGTAGAATTGCTGTGGCCCTTATTAGATTCATTGGTACCTATGGGAACAAATAGATTGATATACAACTACCTTCAATTAAAAATTGGAGATGGAGGGGGAGGAGGAGGAGGAGGACAGAGGAGGAGGAGGAGGAGTACGATGACAGAAATAACTTCTGGGGACAAAATGGAGAGCAGAGAGAAGGAGGGTGGCAGAATAAAGAACCAGGAAGTGAACCAGCTGTTTGTACTTCCTCTCCAGACAAGAAGAGAGCTTGAGATTACCCACATGCGCTCCAGACAGTTATACTACATGAGGAGATGATAAGACCAGTGGGATTAAAGCAGTTGTTTGCTTTTTGACAAACCCGTTCTGGCTACTACTTATAACAGTGGTTCTCAACCTGTGGGTCGGGACCCCATTTGGGGTCGAACGACCATTTCACGGGGGTCGCCAAACAACGCAGTCCGCCATTTTCCCCCCCTTTTCCTTAGCTGTGCTACTCCCTTTTATTCTATTGGCTTTTGAAAGCCATTAGAATAGACTCTCTTGAATAGAGTCTAATTCTATTGGCTTTCAAAAGCCAATAGGAATTGTCCAGGCTGTCTCTGCCCTGCTGAGCCCGACAAAAGCCCCAGTCTGCAAACGGTGCGGCACCAGTTGAGTAGTCCTCGACTTACGACCCATTGAGTAGTCCTTGACTTACGACCGGTTGGGGGTTGCGGCATTAAAAAGGTTGAGAACCACTGACTTATAACTTTGTTTGCTTCTGACTGTTCGCAGATCTGTTTTTTGGTCATCTTTTCCAGGATCTTCCCAGGTATTGATGTTAAGACTAATTGGTCTGTAGTTTCCTGGGTCTGTTTTTTTCCCCCTTTCTTGACGACGGGGACCACATCAGCCCTTTTCCAATCCTCGGGTATTTCCCCCGTGCTCCAGGATTTTTGAAAGATATGGTGCAATGGTTCTGAGATAACATCTGCCAGTTCCTTCAGAACTCTGGGATGTAATCTGTCGGGTCCTAGTGATTCATATTCGTCAAGGTCGGATAGGTGTTCTCTTACCATTTTCTTGCTTATTTTAATTTTTGTTTCTAGTTTGTTTTTTTGCAGTGGTTTTTTTTGGGTATGTTGGGCTATGTGGCTTAGTGAAAGAAGTTTTAAATACAAATACAGGTATAAGAACTTAATTCCTTTTTCTTTTTTGGGGGGGGGAATAAACAGCAACAGAGTGATTAGAACTTTGATTTTGGAAAGTTACAAATCGACCAAGGATCCAGATGGATTTGAAATAAGATTCTGAAACCAATTATAAGAATCCTTTCTCGTGGGAAAAGGCTGTTGTTTTGAATACTTTAAAAAAAAATGACAAAATGGCATTTTAAAAATTGGACACTAGAGGGAACCAAAACTAAATAGTACAATTAAAGAAGAAAAACACTTAAAATTTGACTTGCTAATACATAATGGAATAATACTTTAATACTGGACATAGCAAAGAATATTTGTGAACAACGGGCTCACGTTTCTTGAGAAGTTAATTTTAAGGCTCTGCTTCTATAGACAGACTGTACTTAAAAGAGGTTATGGAAGAGGAAGAGGTTTTACCTGAAAAGATTAAGACTGATCTGAAAGTGGACTTTAAAATAAGAGGCTGCAGGAATGATGTGAAAAAAAGATGTTACACTGGATACACAAATAAAACTGGCTGATGTGTAAGCAAACCAAAAGCATTTGACCTGGATAACTTTCTTATATAGGATAAGAGACTTAAGTTTGGAAAAAATCTGTGAGGAAAGACAAACAGAAATGAGGAAAAAAAATCAAGCTCTAGGACATTATTATCAGGAGAGTTAAGTGTCAAGATTATTAAAAGTAAAGGGAAGGGAAATAAAAAGTTCAAGATTGTTAAAGGAAGGAATATAAAAATGTTTTATTTAATCAAGGTTAAAACAGATAATGTTGTTATTTCCGGTAACCCTTAATGGATTTTTGCTGACCAAGACTGAAAAATGAGGCTTTGAAGATTTTTTTTTTTAATAGATGAGATGAGATATGGGGAGAACATTTGTTCTATTTTAAGAGATGATGATGAGTTACTAAAACTGTTTATACCTGTACTACCCCCAAGAAAAGGAATTAAAAAAAAAAAACCACTAATGAATGGAGACAAACACAAAGATAGTCAAATGGTAACATTAACTCAGGGCAGTGGTTCTCAATTATTTTCTGTCATGCCCCCCCTAGGAAGAAGAAAACATTTCGCGCCCCCCCGCGTGACTGTCTATCCAATCGGGTCCTTTGCGTGTGTCACGTGCGTCCAATATGACAGTATTTGCCGAGGTCAAACGAGCCCCCCTTTACGGAGCCTTGCGCCCCCCCTGGGGGGCCCGCCCCACTATTTGAGAACCACTGACTCAGGGGTAGGCAACCTTGGCTCTTTTATGACTCGTGGACTTCAACTCCCAGAATTCCTGAGCGAGCCATGCTGAGGGGAAAGGGAGAGGTTTCCAAGTTGAGCCATGGCTGGCTCAGGAATTCTGGGGGTTGAAGTCCACGAGTCATGAAGAGGCCATAGTTTCCCCCATGCTGGCTCAGGAATTCTGGGAGTTAAAGTCCACAAGTCATAAAAGAGCCAAGGTTGCCTACCCCTGCATTAACTGAACAGGTCGAGCTGGTTAGGGAATTCCAGGAGTTGAAATCTATCCATCTTAAAAGTTGCTGAGGTTGAGAAATTGTGATTTGATGGTTTGTAATCTCCATCCTCCTTACCCTTTATCCCCAGAAAGATACACACACACACACACACACACACACACACACACACACACACACACTCTAATTTGGAGTGGCATTCACTGCTTTGCCTGAACCACAACAGCAACATCCTTGATTCCTGTGTTCCTTCTCTAAGGTCCTATTTACCCCAGCCAGCCACTTCAGAAGACTGGGTGGGCGTGGATGGAGTGGGTGTGGCCTACTGGGCGGGCATGGCCAGCTCTACATCGTTCGCGTCAAGGGTGCCTGTGGGGGCCTGGGCAGGAGTGGGACAGATCTCAGGGTCTCTGGCAGAAGGGGGTGGGACCGGGACAAGCGCCAAGGCATGGTGCATTTCTTCATTCCTCACAAAGGGTGACACCTCCCCAGCATGCACCCAGGGAACGGGGCCGATGCGGCAGGGGCTGGTTCCTCGCTGTTTCCAGACGGCCTTGTGGAGCTAAGACTGAATGCGTTTCGGCATAGATGGCCACCACAAAATTGTACATTGGCTCCTGGCCGGCCTGGGCCAGGGCCAAGGCAGCAGGGCCCGTTCCCTCACTGTTTCCAGGATGGCTTCGCGGGCCACATGAAACCACTTTGCGGGCCGCATCCGGCCCCCGGGCCTTGTGTTTGACACGTCTGATCTAGTCTCTCACCTGTTCTGGATCGGAGCACAACGTATTCCAGATTTAGGCCATATGAACCACCTTTGCTTTCTTTAGCCCAGCCTTTCTAAATTTGCTTTTCAAGAGACTCAATTCCCATGAGAACTTGACTCATGCCTTTCTGATGAGGAGACTCTGATTGTGGGCTAACAAGTCAGCGATGACTCCTAGTGACAAGACTTTATCCAGAATGATGTGTAATGTCCTTAATCTTCAAGTCTTCTCAAAGTGCAACGATCACGTTGTAATTGAATCCATCCATTCTTTCCTTCCAAGCACAGTAATTCTTCAGGGTCTTTCCCCAACACCAAAGTTCAAAAATAATCTATACTCTTTCTATGCTGCCTCTTCAAAATCCCATTTGCAGTTCTATAGTATCACAGGGTAAAGCCAATCCCTGCGGGATTCTTATTTTTCTGAGTGAATTAAAACTACTCACATCTACTCTATGCGGAACTGCCTTCGAACGACCACTGCAATGGGTCCAAAAGGCCAGTTTTTGACTGACGCTAGTTATTATAACCGTCTTGACACCTCTCTTGAAGATCCTGCATTAGCTACCAGTAACCTTTCAGGTGCAATTCAAAATGCTAGCCACGTTATGGAACAGCTTTTCTTCAGAACGGAGACTGACTTTCTCTGTGAGGGCCTTCCAGGAGCTTTTAAAGACCGAACTCTTCCAGAGAAACTTCAGCGAATGACTCTTCACCATTTTTACCCAGATATCATTTAGCAGCGATGGAAGACAATGTTAATGTACCTCAGAGTTGAACTGTGGGGTCCTTGATGCTCTCTGAGCTTAGTTGTTTATTTGCAGATGTTTCATTACCAAACTAGGTAACGTCATCGGTGCTGTACAATAGACGTCATTTAGTATTAGCCATTGATTCTATTCTAGTATGCTGCCAGAAGCCAAAGATTTGATGGCGGAAGGAAGAAAGGAAGGAAGGAAGGAAGGAGGGAGGGAGGGAGGGAGGGAGGGAGGGAAGGAAGGAAGGAAGGAAGGAAGGAAGGAAGGAAGGAAGGAAGGAAGGAAGGAAGGAAGGAAGGAAGGAAAGGGAGTGAGTGAGTGAGTGAGTGAGCAGTCCCCAAACAAGCATGCCCAAAGCTGAAATGCAAAATATCAGGACTATCCAACAGAGGAAGCCTGGCTATAACATCGTGAAATTATTAGTCCTCCAAAAATCTGTCAAACAACATAAAGCAGGGTTTCCCAACCTTGGCATCATGTCACAAGGAAAACCACTGCTGGAGAAAACCATCCCTGAGGACATTCTGGGAGCTGAAGTCCATGCGTCTTAAAAGTTGCCAAGGTTGAGAAAGAGGCATAAAGCAACTAAGCAGACGTGTGTCAAGAATGCTTTCTAGTTAGTTTAGTTTAGCTCTACTAGAAAGAAAACGTTATGCGTTCTGCCAGTTCTACATTATCGTTCAATTGTAACACTCGATCAATGTTTGCTTTTACACTCTGCCAGGTTTCCTATTTCGGAGACCAGGCCTCTCATAACAACATTTAATTAAACTGCACCAATCCAAGTGTCGCAGACCCACCTCGGCGCATAAACTGTCGCGAGGAAAACCTCCTGGAGGTGTGGAGACCCCGATGCCGAGACAAGTTGGACGGCCACTTGAACAATTTGCCACACTCAGGACATTCGTACGGTCTCTCCTCCGTGTGGACTTTCATGTGTTCAGCAAGGCCCGACGGGCTACTTTTAACGATTCCGCATTTAAAGCACGTGTACTCCTCTTTCATTTGACAGCTGGAGTTTCTCGTCCTGGCTCTTTCCATGCGTCTGTTGGGATCATCCAGCGGTAAGTGGCTCCTCAAGTGATTCTCGAAACATGGCCTGTCCCGGTATGTTTTCCCACACTCAAGACACTCATGCAACTCTTTTGCTGCGTGGCTTTTCATGTGTCTTAGCAACTCTGAGTAATAGTAAGCTTTGTGCCCGCACTCAAGACAGGTGTACTTCCTCTCCAGCGGGTAACGTTTGCCTTTTTTCTTACAGGCTCTTCTTCGACGTCGGGCGCATTTCCTCTTCCGCACCTCTTCCGGTTTCCTTGCACCCAGCTGTTTCTCAGGATCCAGGGGGGAAGACTCGGGATTCAAGGGAACGGTGCCTGAGGATTCTTCTCCGTGCAGCGTCCCAAAGTCGTCTTCTGCCTCTGAAATGGCCTGCTGAAAAGTCTCAATTCTGATCTCACCTATGATTCTTCTACCTGGTGTGAAGGGCAAGAGAAAACGCGAGAAATCACTTTCTTACCAGGAATCGCACAATCGGAGTTTGTTTCGGCCAAATAGTGAGGTGAAATGACACCGGGCAAGCTTTTGCCGTGAGTTCATTTGCACACGTTAGGGCAGAGGCGGAGGAAGCTAAAGTACCAGAGAGTCCAAGAACACAAGTGAGTGGTCAGACAAGGAGACCCGAACTCATACGTAGCTTCTCATTGCAATGAAGAACAACACACATTCAATTTTGGCACTACTAAGATTGTTGGACGAGCGGGCACAAAAACAGCCAGGGAAGTGATTGATGTTGTCTGCCAACAGGAACGTTCATTTACCACCAGCTTATCAAGTACTTAGGAGGCAACAACTTGGCAGCATAAGGAAACAACAGCCAACGATTTAATAGACTTAATAGCCGGTCATCAGCACCCCAATCAACAACTAGACAACCCCACACAACCAGGCACCATAGAAATACCACACATAAAATAGCCCAAAGTACAGAGAGAAGTTCCCCGAGGATGGGCTCCAGCACGAGTCTGAAAGCACAGAAGGCTAAACCTGTCAGGTCCCCAAAGAAATGTATTGTTCCCCTATTCCTACTGCTCTTGAATTTGTAAACCTTCTTTGGGGCCTGCCATTCTGTTGGGAGGGGGGATACTTTGGGGGTGCTTTGCACTGTCTTGCCACCATGCCCTTCCCCCAGGAGAAGGAATGCATCACCCTTATCTAGGAGATGGTTTGCACTTGGAGCCAGAAGGAAAGGAAAGCAAGAGAGACCTTGAAGAACACGTCAACGGAGCCAGTTACCAAAACACTATGCTGCCACCTGTGGATTGGCTGGAATTCCAATGAACACTGGAACCCCTTTGTTGGACTCGGGGTGCACCCGCTGCTTAATCAGCCCAAAACTGGTAGGGAAAATGAAAGTACCCCTCAGGAGACTCAAGACTCCAATCACCTCTTGCTGACTCGATGGATCCGTCACCGGGGGGGGGGGGGAGTCCCCGCCAGTTTTACCACCAGACCCGTGCATATTACCATGGGAGACCACTCAGAGCCTTTGCATTTGTTGTGGTTCCTGGCATGGAGTGGCCGTTAGTACTGAGTCTGATATGGTTAAAGAAATGGAACCCCATAGTCGATTGGAGGCAGGGATGCCTAAAATTCCTGAAGAGGGCCCCTCCCCCATCCAAAGAAAAGGGCAGGAGGCATGGACTATGTCGCAAACTAGCCTCCGCCCTCAGCGAGCAGGAATTACAGAGCCTCCAACTTCCAGTTTTGTGTCATAGTGACGCAGCTGAAGGATTGCGGAGCTCCGCACCCAACGGCTGGTTTCGCCCTGCCAGGGGACTCTAAATAGGTCTAATGTCGCCCCGGAGAGGCGACGAAGGAGGGGCCCCCTATCGATCACAGAAAGATGGCGGTCAATCTGTTTGATCCGGGCGAAGCCCTCCAACCCGACAGGAGAAAGGCTAGCTGCACTCCGGTGACTAGCCCGAGCTACCGGCATCTGAAGTCCAAAAGCACCACCTAAGAACTTTGAACAGCGTGTTGGGAACTGGGTGAGAATATAGATAATCTCTTCTCTATTTTGAAACTAATTTCCTGGAAAAGATTCCCAAGAAGCATAAAATCCTCCGAAAGTGAGAAGGGGATTATAACCTCACCCTTCCACAGACAGATGGGGGACAGAAATACATTGAAATGGATTAAAGCAAAGCTATAACCTGGATAAAACTGAAAATTATGGAAATTGTTGGAAAATAGCTACTGACATCTTGTGATGGATCAGAGTATAGAACTACAGGTGTTCTGCCTCAGAAATTGGCAAGACACCCAGAAACAGAGCACAACTTGTTCCTTTGATCCTCAGTGACTCCTAGCTAAATAGAGAACAGTTGGGAATAGAGGAAAGAAAATATACTGGGCTATCTATTGCAGAATGAGAAACACAATTGTTATAAAAACTGTTAACCTTGGATTACAAACACTTACTGAGCTGTGATATTCAAGTTTGTCAAGGTAATGATTTAACAGTTAAACATATTGTAGATAGTGTAAGATAAACCACCATTTAATACAGACCACTGTTTACTGTATTTACTCCTGGGTTATTTCACGCAATAAGACTGCGAACGTTCTGATAGAGCAGTGGTTCTTAACCTGTGGGTTGGGACCCCATTTGGGATCGAACGACCATTTCATGGGAGTCGCCAAACAACGCAGTCTGCCATTTTTTTCCCCCTTTTCCTTAGCTGTGCTACTCCCTTTTATTCTATTGACTTTTGAAAGCCAAAAGAATAGACTCTCTTGAATAGAGTCTAATTCTATTGGCTTTCAAAAGCCAATAGGAATTGTCCAGGCTGTCTCTGCCCTGCTGAGCCCGCCAAAAGTCCCAGTCTGCAAACGGTGCTGCACCAGTTGAGTAGTCCTCGACTTACGACCGGTTGGGGGTCGCGGCATTAAAAAGGTTGAGAACCACTGTGATAGAGAAAGAAAAACCTTGACTTTTTGGCTATTTTTCTAGGGGAGGAAACTACTGGATTGTTTTAAGCAGTTGAACATTTTGGACTGTTCATAAAGATAAGAACTATATAAGACTATGGTGTTTGGAACTTAAGATTGGTAGGTTTGATGAAAATGGAGATTGAATATACAACCAAAAGTAGTCGGAAACCACACTCAATATTCTTTTCTAAAATCCCCAGTCTGGAATATCAGAGATCGGCAGGAGTAATACTTCAAGACAAGACAAATATCTTCCAGGAGGAAATGCATGCTATGTTGCAATTAATTCAAATGACAATTGTTTCAGTGAACACAGATTGGATGAGCTTCTGCCCCATCGACGACCCAGAGATGCGCCACTGAAATTATCCCGGGGCGAAGCTCCCCAAAGCAAAGTTATACTCTATGGCCCCTAGGGAGTTGAATGAACTTCACAAGTTCATTGACAAGAATCTGGGGCAAGGCTTCATTCAGCTCACCAGACCCCGAGCAGCTGCCCCATTCTATTCAAAAGAAAGATGGGTCTCTTCGTCTATGCATGGATTATATGGGTCTGAACACGACATGAGTGGAAAATATGTATCCACTCCCTTTAACAAGGGACATGTTGGCCCACTGTCGAAAGGGAAAATTTTCTCTAAACTAGACTTGCAGGAGACCTATTATTGAATAAGAATAAAGAAGGGGACGAATGGAAAACCGCTTTTAACTGCCCCCTGGGCTGTTCTCAATTTAGGGTGCTTCCTTTTGGATTACAAGGGGCTCCGGCTGTTTTCATGCAATTAATCAACGAGGTTCTGCATGAGCATCTGTACAAGGGAGTTTTGGTTTATCTTGACGATATCTTGATCTATACCAAAACCAAAGCAGAGCATGTCAAACTGGTCAGAGCGGTCCTAAAGAAACTACACTCTGCCAAGCTGTATGCCAAATTATCGAAATGCAAATTCCACAAAGATTGCATTGATTACTTGGGTTATCACATCTCCAGCAAAGGGGTGGAGATGCACCCAGAGAAAGTGCAAGCTATCCTGGAGTGCCCCACCCCTTGCACTAGAAAACAACTCCAGAGTTTCTTAGGCCTTGCAAACTTTTATTGGCAGTTTATTCTCTCTTTTGCTCAAATCGCGCTCCCCATCACCGATTTGTTAGAAACCAAAGGTGGGAATAAGCCAAACACCAGCCAGCCACTGAAATGGACGGGGGAAGTCAAGCCGCTTTTGAAAAACTAAAGAGACTTTTCTCTGTGAAGGCAGTATTGAAGCACCCAGATCCAGAGAAGGATTTTGTTATTCAGGCCAACGCTAGTGACGTGGCCCTGGGAGCAGTTTTCCTCCAAAGGAACAAGGAGGGCCAACTGCAATTCTATGCTTAATAATAATAACAATAATAGAAGAAGAAGAAGAAGAAGAAGAAGAAGAAGAAGAAGAAGAAGAAGAAGAAGAAGAAGAAGAAGAAGAAGAAGAAGAAGAAGAAGAAGAAGAATAAGAAGAAGAAGAAGAAGAAGAAGAAGAAGAAGAAGAAGAAGAAGAAGAAGAAGAAGAAGAAGAAGAAGAAGAAGAAGAAGAAGAAGAAGAAGAAGAAGAAGAAGAAGAAGAAGAAGAAGAATATAGAAAATGATAAAATTAAACTGCTCTGGGACTTCAGAATTCAAACAGACAAGCACCTCCAACATAACACCCCGGACTTAACAATTGTCGATAAGAAAGACAAAAATGTCTGGATAGTGGACGTGGCAGTGCCTAGAGACAGAAGAATAGACAAGAAAGAACTGGAGAAGATAACAAAATACAAAGACCTACAAATAGAAATAGAAAGACTGTGGCAAAGGCAAGCAAGGGTAGTACCAATAGTAATAGGCGCTTTGGGTGCAATCCCAAAACAACTGGAGCACCACTTGAGCACTATTGGCATTGACAAATTCGCCATTAGTCAATTGCAAAAGGCGGCCTTACTAGGAACTGTAAGTGGTATATAAATCTCATAAATAAATAAATAAATAAACAAACAAACTGCTTCCATCCTGCAACGATATCTGTAATACCATCAAACATCCACATCTGCCTATCCCAAGTCCTTGGGAAGGACTCGATAGGTAGACAAAAATGCCAAATCCAGTCTGAACATCTGGCTGACTGTGCAATGATTAATAATAATAATAAACCACGGTAGTCAGGGGCCGTCATCTAGTCATCATCCTCAAATGAATGGGGAGACAGAGACTGAACTTAGTTATAGAACAGTATCTTAGATGCTTTATCAAATATCAACAAGATAACTGGACTGATTTGTTGCCTTTTGCTTATAACAGTGGTGGCGAATCTATGGCACGCGTGTGAGAGGCGGCACTCGAAGCCCTCTGTGCGTACGCGCAGCATCGCCCCAGCCCTCTCCTCACCAGCAGCCCCCCTGGAGGAGAGTCGCCCCCGGACATGGCCCGCACGGAGCAGCACAGCCAAGGACATAACCGGGCAGCAGGGACAAGACTCCGCTCTTGCGCCCCATAGCGTGTAGATGATGCTACAGGGTGTGGGCGGAGGATGTGGTTGCCATGGTGCTGCAGGGCTGCCTGGGCGATCTGCGACGGGCCATGGAGGTGGTGCATGGCCCGGCGGGCGGGCGGAGTAGGAGGCGGAGTGGGGGCGCAGGGTGGTTTTGGGGCACTTAGTCTCTAAAATGTTCGCCATCACTGGCTTATAATAATGCTGTAAATTAGAGTACTGATTACAGCCCTTTCTAGGTTGCCAATGGTCATACCTGAACTACCTGCTAAGGAAGTGACATTCCCTCTTTGCAAGAGTGGATTAAACAGTTGCAAAATACCTTGCCGGTAGTACGAAAAGCCGTAGATGAGGCCAGAGAAGCCTATAAGGCTCAGACCCACAAAGAGGGTGGAGCAGAAATCTTTTAAAGTTGGAGACAAAGTCTACCTGTCTACTAAATACTTGCAGTCTTTACAGCCTTCTAAAAAATTGGGTCCTACGTTTGTTGAACTTTAAATGCATCATCAACCTAGTAACTGTCGAATTAGAGCTCCCCAAGAACCTACGAAAAATCCGCAACTAGAAAAGCCCACACAACCAGGCACCATAGAAATACCACACACAAAATAGCCCAAAGTACAGAGAGAAGTTGCCCGAGGATGGGCTCCAGCACGAGTCTGAAAGCACAGAAGGCTAAACCTGTCCGGTCCCCAAAGAAATGTATTGTTCCCCTATTCCTACTGCTCTTGAATTTGTAAACCTTCTTTGGGGCCTCCCATTCTGTTGGGTGGGGATACTTTGGGGGTGCTTTGCACTGTCTTGCCACTATGCCCTTCCCCCAGGAGAAGGCATGCATCACCCTTATCTAGGAGATAGCGAGAGAGACCTTGAAGAGTGCCAACGGAGCCAGTTACCAAAACACTATGCTGCCACCTGTGGATTGGCTGGAATTGAAATGAACACTGGGACCCTGGGGGGAGGAGTATTGAATATTGCTTTTGCAGGTTTTTCCTCAGTCCTAAAGACTGATCCATGTTAGATTTATCCATTTCTTTTTCCCCAGGATTTTTTTTGGGGGGGGGGGGGAAGTGAATTTATTTTCTAAACAATATGAAGCTTATATTATAGGCCAGGGGCAGGCAACCTTGGCTGTTTTATCACTCGTGGACTTCAACTCCCAGAATTCCTGAGCCAGCATACCTCCGCATGGAAACCTCTCCCTTTCCCCTTAGTATAACTGGGTCAGGAATTCTGGGAGTTGAAGTCCACAAGTCATAAAAGAGCCGAGGTTGCCTACCCCTGCTCTAGGCTTCACACCAGTGTTCTATTTTCTACCTCAGAATTATGGGAAAGGATATCCCAAAGGTGTTTTTTTCAAGAAGTAATTGATCTTCCTTGAAGACACTTCACTTCTCATCCAAGAAAGCTTCTTCAGTTCTGACAGCATGGTGGAGGGCAAAAAGATTTATACACAAGACAGTGCTTTCAGCAATTCCAAGAAGGTTCTACATTGATTTGCGCTATTCAGGTAACTCTAAGGCAGGGCTTTTCAATCTTTTTATCCATTGTACCACTTTTAGGATATGGCAATATCCGAGTATCACCAGTCACCTAGCAAGGTGTCAAAAACTTGATGACAAAAAAAAAAGAAAGAAAAGTGATGAAGTACAGGTAGTCCTCGACTTACAACAGTTCGCTTAGTGACTGTTTGAAGGTACAATGGCACTGAAAAAAGTGCCCCCCCCCAAGCCACAGCCGAGCAAGACGCCTACCTGCCCGGCCGCGCTCTTCCTCCTGTCCAAGGTTTTCATTGTTGTGAGCATTTCTGTTGAGGATTGGCAGCAGAGGTGGGGGGGGGGTTTGTTTGGTTTTTATTCCGGTCTGCTGGTGGTTGCAGGTTTTGGTCACTTCACATGACCCTGGAACACTGTGACTGTCATAAATATGAATCAGTTGCCAAGCGTCTGAATGTAAATCACAAGACCCTGGAGAGGCTGCAACATTACAGCTGATCAACGCTTCTTCTGGGCTTAGCGGAAGCGCCAGGATCAGCGCTGAGCTCCAGCTGGAGCCTGGCGCTGATCCTGGCGCTTCCCCTGAGCCCTGACAGCCCTGCAGCTCCAGCCATCTCTCACTCAGGCTTGTGCGGTGCTGCCACTGGTTCACCTCATTCCTCTCCCCCGCTACTTTTCTAGGATGGTCACGTATCACCTACCAGGTGCCAATGTACCACAGGTGGTACCCATACCACTGGTTGAAAAGCCCTGCTCTAAGGGCACAGATAAACCTCAGTGGCTCTCAGAAAGAGGGCTAACGACCAGATGACTGCAAGGAATATAAATATAAATCCTTCTATCTTCCAACATTTGATCAGAGTTTCTCTTGGATGAGAAGCGAAATGACTTCAAGTAAAAACAAAAGAAAGTCCAGCTGCCTTTTGAAAAAGCACTTTTGGGACAACTTGATCTGGATAGGAAAGGATGTTGCTGAATCCCACTACTGAATTCTGGAGAACGTTAATGAGCAGGAAATGGAGCCTGGCCCCGGGGGGGGGGGGAGAGGGAGGCGTTTGCAGGTTGCTCATCCACATTTGGACTGAAGATGGCTGTAGCACCTACAGAGGTTGGCTTGAGATCATAAAACCAGACCTTGAGTGCTAGATATTTTTTCCCCAATCAGGGTGCTGGTTAGGCAGATTGTGCACGCACATATACACTTACCAAAGAGGGTGTCAGGAATTGGGTCCCTGTGTTCAGGCCTTTCCTGGAAGGTGGCTTGTGGTTGATCAGCTTGGGAGATGAGTTCAGGTGTAGGAACCAGGAGTCCTTCTTGGGTGGAAATATATGAAGAACAGACAAAGAGAAAACACAGATGGGAAGTCAGTATAACAGGGAATTCTCGTCGCATCTGAAGGCCAGGAGCTCTGAAATCTGATTTCAGGACTCCTGGCCTAAAAGACTCCAGTACTTGAGAAAGTCAAAAGTAGATAACTGTCAGAATCCAATTATATTTCATCTTTAATCATCAAATATAGAAAACCCCAATTCTGCCTTCTCTGGATTCTGCCATAAGAGGGAGAGAAGGGGGAGAACAAAGGGGCTTTATGGCCCTCACTTCCTTCAGTATGAAGGAATGTGTTTATTGCAACCTCAAAGAGTTTGAATGTAAATAGCACCAAAGAACCTTACCATGACAAAGGGGCTATTTACCTTTCATGCAGTTTATTTGAAGTCTCCATCCAGAAGGACGGAAGAAAGCATCAAAGGGGTGGAATTGTGATGCCTGAAACTTATCACTGGAAGGGGGGGTGATTGGGTGGGACTGCTGGGGAACCCCTTAAAACCTTGAATGGGAGAGCTTGGACCCCAAGTCCTGTCTAGCACGCCAGCAACCACATCTTCTTAATAAAGGATTCCTGTTGGAAGAATTATTCCAAGAGTTCTGTCTTCTTAAGATGCAAAGTGGGGTGGGTCCTTACAATAACCATCAACTTTGGCAACTATATGCCTTTGCCTTTAGATTAAGATGTTACTTTCAAGTGGGTAGACGGAAAAATGAAACTTCCTCAATTCAGTTGCAGGCCGTGAGAGCTTGAAGTCTTGTCAAGGACACCAGATCGGGTGTGGATTTGAAGCAGACAGTTCCCATAACAAAGTGGACTTGTTGATATGGATTACGTAAGATGTCTGGTGGTTTGGCTGATAAAACTATTGTTTAAATCTACAAACTGGTGCTGGAACCTCAAAGTTAGTTTTTCTTCTACATAGCCAAGCTATGTATTCAATAAACAGTAAGCTTTTCCAGGGTATAAGACAAGGATGTCCATTATCCCCATTGTTATTTGTTTTAACTATGGAGATTTTGTTAATTTAGATTCGAGAGTCAACCGTACTTAAGGGAATAAAAATAAATAAGAATGAGTATAGATTGAGAGCTTTTCCAGATGATTTGGTTTTAACTTTATTACAACCGACTCAATTGGTTAGTCATTTGTTGGAACTTATAACTCAATATGGGAAAGTTTCTGGTTTTAAAGTAAATAATAATAAGACTAAAATATTATCTAAGAATATGACTGAGAGGGAAAATGAAATTTTAGTTAAACTTACAGGTTTTCAGATAGTGAAAAAGGTTAAATATTTGGGAGTGTATATTTAACTGCTTCTAATGGAAAATTATATAAGAATAATTATGAATTATTATGGACAAAAGTACAAAAGGATTTAAATGATTGGAAAAAATTACAATTGTCGTTGTTGGGGAGAATTTCAGCTGTAAAAATGAATGTTCTACCAAAGTTTCTTTTTTTGTTTCAAATGATACCCATTTTAAAAAAACGATGCTAATTTGGATGAGTGGCAGAAGGGTATCAATAAATTTATTTGGGCTAGGAAGAAACCAAGGGTCAAGTTTAAGATTTGCAAGATGCTCGAGAAAGAGGAGGGCTTAAAGCACCTAATTTGAAATTATATTATGATGCAGCCACATTAACTTTGATAAGTGATTGGCTTAATTTAACAAACAAAATATTCTTTCTCTTGAAGGGTGGGATTTATTATATGGTTGGCATGCATATTTAATTTTCAATAAGAAAGTAGATCGGGCTTTTAAATCACATATTTTAAGAAATGCCTTACTTCGAGTCTGGAAGAAGTATTATTACAGGTTAAATTACAAAATACCTATTTGGGAGATTCCTGAACATGCAATTGAGGGGATTTCTAAGGGGATGAATTTTGAAAAGATTCCGTATAAAGAATTACTTATTTGGTCAGGTACTGACTGGCAATTGAAATCTTTAGATGTATTAAGGCAAGAAAATATTTTACAGTAATGGTTTCAGTATTTACAAATAGTGGATAGGTGGACTTTAGATAAGAAAGTTGGAATAACATTAGGAGATGAAAATTTGGTAATTCAGATTAAAGATCAGAATCAGGTCCACATAAAAAGAATTTATAATGCGTTAATAGAATTGAACTCGGAAACGGATTTGGTTAAAGATTGTATGGTTAAATGGGCTCAGAATATCCAGGAACCGATCCCATTGGATTTATGGGAGATAATTTGGATTAGAAATGTTAAATTTACACAGGCTCAAAATTTAAGAGAAAATTTTTATAAAATGTTTTATAGGTGGCATTTGGATCCTAAAAAGTTGTCTTGTATGTATCCTAATTTACAGCCTAAATGTTGGAGATGCGGTAGTTCTGACGCAACTTATTTTTATGTTTGGTGGACTTGTAAAAATATTAAGGCTTTTTGGATTATGATTTGATGGAACATTCAAAAGATTTTTAAAAGGAAGATAAAGTTTACTCCTCAACTATTTTTACTAGGGATTTTTGTGGATTTTGATGTTAAAGAAACTATTTTAATGTTGAATTTAGTAACAGCAGCAAGGTTATTGGTAGGTCAATATTGGAAGAAAGATTCGTTGCCTACTATAGAAGAATGGACACTTAAGGTTTCTAATTTAGCAGAAATGGCTAAAATTTCTGCTTATTTAAAGGACCATACACAAGAAAGATATATTATGGTATGGAGAAGATGGATAGATTATATTCAGACTAAATATGGAACTAAAAAGTTCCATTTATTTTATGATTAAATTTTAAATAATAATTATTATTAATAGCATTTTATAATGGCAATTATTTAGTTTATTTATTGTTATTACGGTACTTTATAATAATTGTTTTAAAATGCATTTGTTTATAATATTATGATATTAAGGTTTAAAGGGAGTTAAGGGTTAAGTATGAATTTGGTTACTGTGTAATTTGTTAAATTTAATTAATTTGTTTAATATGTTTGTAATAACTCTGTAGTCGGCTCTGGGAAGTGGGGGGGGTAGGGAGGTGGGGGGGTTTGGGGGTTAATTTTTTTTTGTTAATTGTTAATAAAACTTTTTCAATAAAAAAAATTAAAAAAAAAAAACCAGTAAGCTTTTCGGAAACGAAGGGAACCTGGAGTTTTATTTGGATTCTCGAGCTGAGTATTGACGACAACGCTCCTCTAACTCTCTGGGATATGAGAGAACTGACTCTGGAATTAACGTCAATAACGGGACAACAATCATTATTAAAAACAATACTGTCAAGGTGCTTTGAAACTAAAATGCTCCACATTCTAAGCCGGCACAGCTTTGATGGCACCAGTTTATCAGAGCCTTCACATACAGGTAGTCCTTGACTTACCACCATAACGGAGCCTGCCTATCACGGTCATAAATCTGATGTTGTAAAACCAGGGCCAGAACAACTTGCCACGGCTAATTCATCATAGGACAACTCACTGAGGGACAATTTAATAATTCAATGTAATTATTTAAAACAGTGTTTCTCAACCTTGACAATTTTAAGGCACGTGGACTTCAACTCCCAGAATTCCACAGCCAGCATTGCATTTAAAACAATTTAAAACCTATTTTAATTTCTGTCATTCGCGTATCATTTTGTCCCTTTCCTTTGGCACCCTTTCTTCAATGATTCTATTCCACCCTTTCTTCGATGTTAGTGTTAACTCTTGTCCCACTGCGAGCTGTCCTCGAGTTGGCTACGAGTTGGCTGCGGCAAGCTGGCCACAGTGAATATGGTTTAAATCAGGGGTGTTAAACTCAATTTCATTGGGGGCCGCATCAGCACTGCAGCATGGGGGGTGTGTGGCCAGGGTGGGTGCAGCCTGCTGGGTGGGGGTGGATGGAGTGGGTGTGGCCTACTGGGTGGGCGTGGCCAGCTCTACATCGTTCGCCTCAAGGGTGCCTGTGGGAGCCTGGGCAGGAGTGGGACAGATCTGAGGGTCTCTGGCAGAAGGAGGTGGGACCGGGGCAAGCGCCAAGGCATGGTCCATTTCTTCATTCCTCACAAAGGGTGACACCTCCCCAGCATGCACCCAGGGGGCGGGGCCGACAGGGCAGGGGCTGGTTCCTCACTGTTTCTGGACGGCCTTCTGGAGCTAAGACTGAATGTGTTTCAGCATAGATGGCCACCACAAAATTGTCCATTGGCTCCCGGCCGGCCTGTGTTAGGGCCAAAGCAGCGGGGGCCGTTCCCTCACTGTTTCCAGGATGGCTTCGCGGGCCACATGAAACTACTTCGCGGGCTGCATCCGGCCCCCGGGCCTTGTGTTTGACAGATCTGGTTTAAATGCATTGCTGATTGGGGAATTCTGGGAGTTGAAGTCCACGCTTCTTAAAAGTTGCTGAGGTTGAGAAATGCTGGCTTAAGGCCCCCTTGACATCCTTTTCGATGCACGCAGCCGTTCTAGAATTTTTACTTGCAGTCAGTTGTGTGAACTGTTGGAAAGCAAACGTGGGCCGGAGTGTAACGAGAGATAACTCACCCAAAGCACTGGAGCTGCTGCCCCTCTCTTGCATGACTTCCCAGTGTATGGGCTTCTCGTCAAGACCCAACTCCTCCTTCACACGTACAGGCTGCTGAAAGAGGGAGGAACGCCAGGTTCAGTTCTATCTCTCCGGCTTTTCTTTAAAAAGACACGTCTGACCCAGGATTTTACCTCCTAATTAACACGGAACTGACAATGAGAGAGCGATTTCAATTTCACCCGGAGGCAGAGTCAGTGTATAATACTTTTAGAACCAGTTTAACATGGCTGATTTTTTTTTTTTTAAGAGATCAACTTGGCTGCCAGACTGTATACCAAATGAACTTCATGCTCTAATGCAGTGGTTCTCAACCTGTGGGTCGCGACCCCATTTGGGGTCGAACGACCATTTCACGGGGGTTGCCAAACAACGCAGTCCGCCATTTCCCCCCCCCCTTTCCTTAGCTGTGCTACTCCCTTTTATTCTATTGGCTTTTGAAAGCCAATAGAATAGAGTCTCTTGAATAGAGCCTAATTCTATTGGCTTTCAAAAGCCAATAGGAATTGTCCAGGCTGTCTGTGCCCTGCTGAGCCCGCCAAAAGTCCCATTCTGCAAACGGTGCTGCACCAGTTGAGTAGTCCTCGACTTACGACCGGTTGAGTAGTCCTCGACTTACAACCGGTTAGGGGTCGCGGCATTAAAAAGGTTGAGAACCACTGCTCTAGAAGGAGTACAGAGAAGAGCAACCAAGATGATTAGGGGGCTGAAGGCTAAAACATATAAGGAACGGTTGCTGGGGTATTTCTAGTTTAATGAAGAGAAGGACCAGGGGTGACAGGATAGCCGTGTTCCAATATCTCAGGGGCTGGCCCAAAGAAGAGGGAGTCAAGCTGTTCTCCAAAGCAGCTGAAGGTAGGAAAAGAAGTAATGTATGAAAACTAAGTAAAGAGGGAAGTCCTCGACTTACGACCGGTTTAGTCCTCCACTTATGACCGGTTGGGGGTCGCGGCATTAAAAAGGTTGAGAACCACTGCTCTAATGAGTTTTAGCAAAACATGCCAACAACATGAGTTTAAGATCGTTTCCTCCCGGAAAGAGACACAGCTGGCATAATCAACCAAAATGGACAAATGAATGCTTTTGGGCCATTGTTTCAGTCTGGGAGACAGGAGATATCCGAGTTCAGAAGCTTCCTTCCAACTTGGGACCCGACGTCATGTCGAAGAGGGTAACCTGGTTCGGAAGACCTAACCCAGTGATGAGAGAACGAGTGCCCAAACTGCAACCCAAAACCCACTTATTTATCGCCGGGTGCCAGGTGGGCGTGGCTGTGGTCGTGGCAGACTGGGTGGGTGGGGCCAAGCTGGGTGTGGTCACCTCGATGTTGCTCGTGGGGAGGGATGCCTGTGGGGGCTGGGTAGGGTTGAGGGAGATCCAGGGGGTCTCTGGGAGGTGAGGCGGTGGGCAGGAGGCTCGTCCTGCGGGGTGAGGCTGGGCAAGGCGAGGCAGGGTGGGGGTGCCATTGTCGCAGGGCAAGGCGAGGCACGGGCCGGGGCGGCTGCTGCCTGACACTATCGGCCCCCATACACAGAAGCCAGCAAGCACATGGGGGCTGACAGAGTCCGTCAGCAGCTACAGCCTGCTGGCCCCTCGACCAGCGCACTCTGGGGCTCCGCAGCCCACCACCAGCAGTTCACAGAAGCCGCCTCTGAGCTGGATGTCCAGCTGACAGCTGAGGAGGCAATGCAGTGGGTCGTGCCCGGGAAAAGGAGAGCATGCAAGGCCAGGAGGGATGGGATGGGGGGGGGGAAGGAGGGAAACCAGTCATGCTAGGATGCATCCAGCAACGTGGGAGCTCGGCGAGTTAGCGGGCAGCTGGGTGAAGAGGGACGGTTGCCATTTCCAGGGCATGGTGCGTGTGCCCACAGAGAGGGCTCTGAGTACCGCCTCTGACACACGTGCCATAGGTTCGCCAACAGTGACCTAACCCCTCTCTGCAACGGTGACTCACCACCGTGAGAACCTCCATTTCATCTGGCTTTGTTTTAAGGCAGAGGTGGAGAACGACGGCCCTTTTGTGACTTGTGGACTTCAACTCCCAGAATTCCTGAGCCAGTCTGGCTGGCTAAAGGAATTCTGGGAGTTGAAGTCCACGAGTCATAAAAGAGTCATCGTTCCCCACCTCTGTTTTAAAGCTACTCTAGATTACCTTCCCATTATCAACATTATTCATAATTCTCATTAATTACGAAATCCATAAATCACCCATTCCTTTTTTCCATTTTCAGCCAAAAGTCCTTTTTTTTTTTTTTCCCCCAGTCAGTTGGTAAGGCAGTTGGTAAAATCCATACTGAGAGTCTACACACCTGGGTGGTTCCAGTCCCAGCCATTTCCAGTCCAGCTGATGAGTGGGCTAAGACCGAGTTCCTTGTGGATGTAGCTTCACTGGCTGTGAAACACAAATGCAGAAGTTGAGAAAGGGATACATGATTTAGCTTTTGCTGCCATCTTAGAACGGCAATACATTAAACTCCCTAGCTCAGGGGTAGGCAACCTTGGCGCTTTTATGACTTGTGGACTTCAACTCCAGAATTCCTGAGCCAACATGGCTCAGCTTGGAAACCTCTCCCTTTTCCCTCAGCTTGGCTGGCTCAGGAATTCTGGGAGTTGAAGTCCACGAGTCATAAAAGAGCCAAGATTGCCTAAACCTGCCCTAGTCTACATTAACATATAATTTTTATTAGAAATTTCAATATGGGTAAAAAATAAACATCACAATACATAGGGAAAAATTAAGTAGAAAAAAGTGGAGAAAAGGTTCAAAGAACAGTAAAAAAACCTGACATAGCGACTTCGAATCTCTTTTATAGCGGTTACAAAGTTAGTATCCTTCCTCCCTCATTAAGCTTACATTCTGTTTATTTATTTGTTAAATTTATTTGCCACCGATTTCGCTGTTGGGGTCGGCTCCAGGTTTCCTTCTTCTCATATCAATCCTTTTTAGTTAGCAAATTCATCAATCGCCAAGTTATTTTTTTTCCCCCATTTTCAGCAAAAAAGGACCATGATGGATTTGCTTATCAGGGTTACCTTCTTTTCAGGTTAGTTGCCGTGCACAGCCGGTTTGTGATGTGAGCATAAATCCACCAACAGCCACTCCCAGTATGAAAACAAACCACCCAAGTTGATAAAACGAAGCTACTGAATTTTTTTTATGTTATTGGGAAAATGTAAGGACCCACCCCACTTTGCATCTTAAGAAGACAGAACTCTTGGAATAATTCTTCCAACAGGAATCCTTTATTAAGAGAAAATGGTTGCAGGCATGCTAGACAGGACTTGGGGTCCAAGCTCTCCCATTCAAGGTTTTAAGGGGTTCCCCAGTAGTCCCACCCAATCAACCCCCCTTCCAGTGATAGTTTCAAGTATCACAATTCCACTCCCTTTCTTCTTTCTTCCGTCTGGATGGAGACTTCAGATAACTACATGAAAGGCAACTTCCCTCCTTTGGTATGTTAACGCTTCGAGGTTACAATAAACACACATTCAGCATTCAGCTCTTTGAAGTGTAAAGAAGGAAGTGAGGGCCATAAAGCCCCTTTGTTCTCCCCCTTCTCTCCCTCTTATGGCAGAATCCAGAGAAGGCAGAATTGGGAGTTTCTATATTTGATAATTTAAAGATGAAATATAATTGGATTCTGACAGAAAATAGCCAACTCCACCCACAGGTCTTTTACCATCACGAAAATGTCACACGGGTAGTACCTTGACCTACAATGGTTCATTCAAGGGCCCTCTGAAGTTACGACGCCTCTGAACAAATGGTGGTTATGACTGGTGCTTGGGAGTTCCAGTTGACCCAGCACCCTCACCACCATGTGATTGCGATCTCAGTGCTTCACAACTGGTTCGCACACCCAGTTACGATCGTCATTTGTAACGTTCCCTGTTACACTGGGAAGCCATCCGGGAAATCGCAAATCCCATGTGCACACTTCAGACCTTCTCCAGTCCTTGTTGCACTTCTCGTACACCCCCTAACTCCCTCACTCCACATCTCTCACATGCCTTCCTGTGAACCCCCCTCGCTCCCTTCCCCAGCTGGCAGCAGCCATTTTTATCTGCCTGCTGGCCTGGGACTTACGACTTCCTGCCGGCTTCCCCAATGACTTCGGCTGTGAGAAGCCGGCAGGAAACCACCTCATCTAATGATCTAGGATTCAATTAATGATGGCAACTGGTGCGGCAGGATTGCGGTCCCTAAGCGATGCGGTCATGTGTCTTATAAATGTATCATTCCAGTACCAACTGCTGTCGTTAAGTCGAGGACTACCTCAAGTCACTCTTTCTTCCTGACAACGGAATATACACATAGTTCTCTACTTACAACAGTTCATTTAGTGACAGTTCAAAGTTACAACGGCACTGAAAAAAGCAATTTATGGCCAACAGCCATGGTGGCACCGTGGCTAGAATGCAGTATTGCAGGGTAACTCTGCTAACTGCCAACTGTTAGCAATTCGATCCTCACTGACTCAGGGTTGACTCAGCCTTCCATCCTTCTGAGGTTAATAAAATGAGGACCCAGATTGTTGGGGGCAGCTCCCTCCCTCCCATCCAGGACATAGCACAGAAGCGTTGCTTGAGCAGGGTCCGTAAGATTATCTGGGACACTACACATCCTCTCCACGGCCTGTTTTCCTTATTACTTTCTGGGAGGAGGGGGCTTCGTGGTATCCGTAGCAGAACATCCAGACTCAACCATAGTTTCATTTCGTACAGCATTAACCTTGTGAACTCTCAAGCTTCCTCCTTCCATATTTATTCAAGATGGACAGTGTTTAATATTTATTTGCTATGTATATGTAGGGGTGTGGATCTATACATAGGTTGTATATAGTATGTTTTAGGTGCGTGTCGTGTATTTATTTATTTATGAGACTTATATACCGCTTTAAGTGCAAGCACTCTCTAAGCGGCGTACACCAGTAAGCAATGTATATATATATATATATATATATATATATTTTACATTGCCCCCCAACAATCTGGGTCCTCATTTTACCTATCCTGGAAGGATGAAAGGCTGAGTCAACCTTGAGCCGGTGAGATTTGAACCGCTGACCTGCTGAACACAGTCAGCTAAAGTGGCCTGCAGTACTGTATGTGTTTCACTTTGAGAGCGGGCAACTAAATTTCACTTTTGATGTGTGCCGTTGTGCCCACGGTAAACAAATGACAATAAAGGTTATCTTATCTTAATAGGCTGACTCTGTAAAGCAGACATGTCAAACACAAGGCCCGGGGGCCAGATGCGGCCCACGAAGTGGTTTCATGTGGCCTGCGAAGTCCTCTTGGAAACAGTGAGGGAACGGCCCCCTCTGCCTTGGCCCAGGCCAGCCAGGAGCCAATGTACAATTCTGTGGTGGCCATCGATGCTGAAACGCATTCAGTCTTAGCTATATAAGCCCCCCCCCCCCCGGCATGGCCTGAGAGGAACAGTGAGGCTCCTTCAGTGGACCATGCCTTGGCACTTGCCCTGGTCCCACCCCCTTCTGCCAGAGACCCTCAGATCTGTCCCACTCCTGCCCAGGCCCCCACGGGCACCCTTGACGTGAACAATGTAGAGCTGGCCACGCCCTCCCAGCAGGCCGCATCCACCCTGGCCACACCCACCTGGCCCCCTGAGGGCAATCGCAATGCTGATGCGGCCCTGCTGTAAACCATTTAGAGGGCTGTGTAAAGCACTCTGAAGTGGTATATAAGTCTGAGTGCTATAGTGCTATTTTCACAGTTATGACCGTTGCAGAATCCCCGTGGTCACATGATCAAAATTCAGAAGCTTGGCCGCCAACGTATCTTGATGACGGTTGCCGTGTCCCGGGGTCATGTGATCAGGCTTTGCCACCTTCTGATGAGCCAAGTCAATGGGGAAGGCAGATTCGCTGAACAACCGGGTTACTAACTTTAACAGCTTCAGGGATTCACTTAACAACGGTGGCAAGAAAGGTCGTAAAAGGGGGCAAAACGCACTTAACCAAGGAGGTCTCGCTTACGCAACAGAATTCTTGGCCTCAACTGTGGTCGTAGGTCAAGGACTGCCTGTAATTCCTCACCCGCCCAATCAATTTTACCCCCTCCCCCTTTCCAACTAACCTCCGGGGTGGTGCTGTCTCTGCCTCCCTTCCAACTCCGAGGAACTAGCTGGGACCTCTGGCAAAGGAACCTAAAAGGACAAAGAATGAGCTGTAGATAACGGTCCCCATTGCAAATACATTAAAAAGAATTACCGTATATTCCGGCGTATAAGACGACTCCCAACTTTTGAGAAGATTTTCAGGCTTTAGAAAGTACAATATTGAAAATACAGTACAATATTGAATTTCTGTTTATAGATGAGCACAATAGGAGCTCCTTTGCTGCTAGAAAGCTTTGTCCTGTTAGTGCTTATTTCTGTAAAAAAAATAGGGCTGGCCACTAGGGGGCAGATTGGTTTTAAATTCAGAGAACAGCTACCCATATATTCCTGCGATAAGACAACCCCTGACTTTTGAGAAGATTTTCAGGCTTTAGAAAGTCGTCTTATACACCGGAAAATATGGTAAGAAACTGAGGAAATAAATAATATATTAGCCTAGGACAGTGATGGCGAACCTTTTAGAGACCGAGTCCCCAAACTGCAACCCAAAACCCACTTATGCATCGCCAAGTGCCAGGTGGGTGTGGCCCATTGGCTGGGTGTGGCCAATTGGGTGGGCGTGGCTACGATGGTAAAGGCAGACTGGGTGGGACTAAAAAGTTCAATCAATCAATTCCAACTTTGCAAGATCTTTTTTTTTTCCTGCGAGAAGTTGAAATTGACTTATTAATTGAACTTTTTTTTTTTTTTTTTTGCACATGGCGGCGGAAAGATTTTATAAAACCCAGCTGAAGGCCTAGGACTGGGGCGACAGCACGCGTGCCCACAGAGAGGGCTCTGAGTGCCGCCTCTGGCACCCGTGCCACAGGTTCACCACCACTGATCTAGGGTTTAATCAGCAGAAGAGCCTTCTCCAACTTGGAGCCCTCCTCCTCCCACCTTCCGTACAGGCCGGATGGGAAGCAGAAGTATCTACAGCTGGGGTCTCCAACCGTGGCAGCTTTTACGACTTGTGGACTTCAACTCCCAGAATCGTGCTGGCTGAGGAATTCTGGGAGTTGAAGTCCGCCAAGTCGTAAAGTTGCCACGGTCTGGAGACACCCGATCTACAGCAACCCTCCCTTTGCCCTGCAAAGATCAACAGAGAGCACTCGGGTCCTAAGCGTATATTCCTCACCTGCCAGTCGCAGGACCTGGGCGGGTGACGGTGACCCGTCAGGAAATCCTCTGCCAACGCGACCATCTCGATGCAGTCCTTTGGCCCGCACTCCCGCACCCAGTTCTGGACTTCAGCGGGCAGCATTCCCAGAAGCTGTTCTTGGATGATCATCTCTAGGATCTGCTCCTTGGTGTGCTTCTCGGGCTTCAACCACTGGCGGCAAAGGTCCTGGAGTTGGCCGTACACCCTGCGAGGCCCTTCCAGCTCCTGGTAGCAGCACTGGCGGAAATGCTGGCGTTTCATCTCCATGCGGAGAGCATCCGCTCGCAGGATGGCGGCCTTCACCTTCATGTAATCGCCCCTGTCCCGGGGGTCCAGTCTGCAGAAGGATTGCTCCATGCCTCCCCGCAAGGCTGGCAGCAGCTGGCGCACCCATTCTTCGCGGGGCCACTGGCAAGCTTCGGCCACTTGCTCAAAGGCCGCCAGAAACGCACACGTGTCATCCCAGGGCACCGTATCGGTGAGTTGGAGGTTTCCCCAGCCCGCGTGAGCAGGGGGTTGCAGCGTGTTCAGAAATTCCTGCCACTGGGCTTCCCACTGCTGGGGTAAGCCCACTTCCGGCTGTTGATTCATCTGCCTTGGCATCCCTTTAAAATACATCACCTGGACAATGCGTGGGACTTTACCTGAGCCTTCCAAGCTCTTTTCCATGTTTTGTGCCTCTGCTCTGAAATGTGAGAGGCGCCCCAGGCAGCTCCTGTGCCCGTTTTGGTGTCTTTTCAAAGTTTTTGGTGTTTGTTTGTGTTTTTTTTTCCCCTTTCAAAAAATCCCCATAAAGGGAAAACGGAGGCGATGAGGAGTTTCTGGAAGATAAATAACAAAGACAGGCTTGTCAAGATGAGAAAGAGTTAAAGACTTCTAAACGGGGTTTTTTTAAAAAAAGCTTGAGTGAAAAAAAGAAATGTTTCTCTTACACCTGTATAAGCTGACTCCCGTTTTCAATTTTAAGCTTTAGTTTGTGTGGGAATTGGGGTAACTGCAGGGGGGGAAATGGTAAGGGGTGCCGAAAATTCAGAAGACTTTTTGTCAGACCCCCTCAATGTATTTGCCTACATGTTATTACTCTGCCTATGCCAGGGGTAGGCCACCTTGGCTCTTTTATGATGCGTGGACTTCAACTCCCAGAATTCCTGAGCCAGCCATGCTGAGGGGAAAGGGAGAGGTTTCCAAGCTAAGCCATGTTGGCTCAGGAATTCTGGGAGTTGAAGTCCACGAGTCATAAAAGAGCCAAGGTTGCCTACCCCTGCATTAGGTTCTCAAAACAATGTAGTACCTATGGCAGGGTAGGCAACTTTGGCTTTTATGACTCGTGGACTTCAACTCCCAGAATTCCTGAGCCAGCATGGCTCAGCTTGGAAACCTCTCCCTTTCCCCTCAGCATGGCTGGCTGAGGAATTCTGGGAGTTGAAGTCCACGAGTCATAAAAGAGCCAAGGTTGCCTACCCCTGGCCTATGGATTTGCCGGAATTCAAACGGACGGTTGGACACTGGGGGGAGGAGACCCGAATGAGCCTTTTGATGCAACCTTTCGTGTGAAATCTTCAGATCTTGCTTTGCTCTATTGTACTATCATTATCACTCAATAAAAGTTCCTTTTGAAACACCTGTTTCAAAGAGTTCTGCTTTCTTGGAAGACCTCGTTGAGGCAGGTCCTTACACTTTTACAATTCCCGTGTGTGTGTGTGTGTGTGTGTGTGTGTGTGTGGAGGGGGGGAGCTCCCAGCAGACACACCTTTTGAAACCATGCCATGGGTCTGCCGTCTGTCACCCTTTCCAACAAGCTCTCTTTTTTGAAAGACGCGTCAAATAAAATGAATTATAGGGCTGGATCCAACTGCAGGGCTGTACATTCCCAACCCCTTTCCTCTCCTCCTTCTCCCTCCCACAAGTTCTCAGTCACCACTGGCAACCTCTCCTCACTAACATTTGCTTTACACTGTGTGCCTTTCTCTAGTGCCCGACTAAGAGTGTTGTGGTGTTTGTTTGATTTGCATCTATTTCCCTACGCCTGCAAAAGTTCTGAGTTTCTGCAGCTCAGAACTGGTTGCCAATGCTATGACAAACCGAATTGAAGCTGTTTTCCTTTTCTCAACTTGGCCACATTTTTAGTTAGAAGGAGGGAGGGAGGAAATTTCTCAGTTAGCAAAAAAACAATTCACATGTTATGGGAACCAAGGTCATTGGTGAAAACATTTTGGCGGGCTGAAGCAGCTGGGAGGAATCCCCACCTTTTCTCACAATTGGCTAATGTGATTTATGACAGCAATTTTTTTTTGGGGGGGGGGGAATGTAACTTACAACTCTGTAACCCAGGGGAAGGGAATTTAGCCTTGGGTTCACCTTTGTACTTGCCAATATCTTGTTTCCAAAATAAAAATGTTCTTTAAGGAAGAAATCCTTGCCTTGAAGTTCTTTTAAATTAGTGGTGGCGAACCTATGGCATGGATGCCAGAGGCGGCACTCAGAGCCCTCTCTGTGGGCACGCACCGGTGCCCCAGTCCTAGGCCTTCAGCTGAGCTTTATAAAACCTTTTCACTTTAGGCCTCCGCTGCCATGAGGAAGAGCGCCACCGGGCGGGCAGGCATCTTGCTCGGCTGTGGCTTGGGGGGCACTTTTTCAGTGCCATTGTATTTGAACAGTCACTACGCGAACTGTTGTAAGTCAAGGACTATCTGTACTTTATCATTTTTTTTCATTTTTTTTTGGGTCATCAATTTTTTGACACCTTGCTAGGCGACTGGTGGTACTCGGATATTGACATATCCTAAAAGTGGTACAATGGGTGAAAAGGTTGAAAAGCTCTGGTTTATGCAAGCCCATTCTTGAAGATTCACACCTCAAAAACCACGAACATGGTCGTCAGGAAACAACCCTGTTAATTTACCACCAATAAATTCGGAAGGAATCCCATTAGAAAAAGTTGAAAGGATCACGCACCTTGGGTTCTAATTTACATGAAAGCTGGGACATGACCACTGAAGTAAAGACACGGACAGAGAAAGCCTGAACAGCATTCTTCAAAACGAAAAAGGACTTCTACAGTCACGACATACGTAAGCCTAAGATTGAAAATCAGGCTTGTCAGTTGTTATGTTTTTTCTATCCTGCTCTATGGAGTAGGGCAGGGCTTTTCAAGCAGTGTTATGGGTAGCGGGGGGCTACCATAACACAATAATGAGCTGAACCGGTGGTAGCACCGCACAAGCCTGAGCGAGAGATGGCTGGAGCTGCAGGGCTGTCAGGGCTCAATGGAAGCACCAGGATCGTCAGTGCCAGGCTCCAGCTGAAGCTCGGCGCTGATCCTGGTGCTTCTGCTGAGCCCTGAAGAAGCAAAATCAGCTGGAAAGCAGCACTTGCCCTGGTGCTTCTGCTGATCCCAGAAGAAGTGCCGATCAGCTGGAATGTTGCAGCATCTCCAGGACCTTGTGATTTACATTCAGATACTTGGCAACTGATTCATATTTATGACAGTCACAGTGTCCCAGGGTCATGTGAAGTAACCAAACCTGCTGAAACCACCCAGCAGACGGGGGGGGGATAAAAACCAAACACCCCCTACCCTACCCCCGCTGCCAATCCTCAACAGAAATGCTCACAATGAAAACCTCAGACAGGAGGAAGAGCACGGCCGGGCAGGCAGGCAGATGTCTTGCTTGGCTGTGCCTTGAGGGGCACTTTTTCAGTGCCATTGTAACTTCAAACAGTCACTAAGTGAACTGTTGTAAGTCGAGGACTGCCTGTACTTTATCACTTTTTTCCTTTTTGGGGGGGGGGGTCATCAAGTTTTTGACACCTTGCTAGGCGTCTGGTGGTACTCAGATGTTGCCATATCCTAAAAGTGATACGATGGGTGAAAAGATTGAAAAGCCCTGGAGTAGAGAGTTGGTCTCTGACAGAAGGTCACCTGAAGAGACTAGAAGCATTTTAAATGTGGATTTACAGGCAGCTGTTACGTAGAAGCTGGGTTGACAAGATCAGAAATGAGGAGGTGATAAGCCGTCTGGGAAAGCCAAGAGAAATCATCCAAACAATTAAAAAAACCCAAAAGTTAGAACAGTGGTTCTCAACCTGTGGGTTGGGACCCCATTTAGGGTCGAACGACCATTTCACAGGGGTCGCCAAACAACGCAGTCCACCATTTCCCCCCCCCCTTTTCCTGAGCTGTGCTACTCCCTTTTATTCTATTGGCTTTTGAAAGCCAACAGAATAGAGTCTCTTGAATAGAGTCTAATTCTATTGGCTTTCAAAAGCCAATAGGAATTGTCCAGGCGGTCTCTGCCCTGCTGAGCCTGCCAAAAGTCCCATTCTGCAAACGGTGCTGCACCAGTTGAGTAGTCCTCGACTTACGACCGGTTGAGTAGTCCTCGACTTATGACCGGTTGGGGGGGGGTCGCAGCATTAAAAAGGTTGAGAACCACTGAATTAGAATATTTTGGACATGTGATGCGACACCCAGAAAAATACAGCATACTCCATTTAATCCTCCAGGGAAAGATGGAAGGCAAACGACGTCCAGGCAGAAGAAGAACATCGTGGCTTCAAAATCTAAGGGACTGGTTTGGACAAAACTCAGCAGCACTTTTTCGTGTGGCTGCTGATAAAAACAGGATCGCCAACATGATCGCCAACATCCAATAACGGATATGGCAGAAGAAGAAAAAGAATTCATCTGAGAGGACCCTTTTTTTGCCGAATTTAAGATTTTAACTGTGGGATTTATGGCACTCAGTAACGCTGCAAAATGTGTGCACCACAGCTCACAAGGAGGTTTCTATTTTTAAGAAAGCTCTTCACGGGAGGCAAAATTTGTAAGCTACAATTTTTTTCCCCTTTCTTTTCTCCATTTGCCAGACCGCAAGTATTTTCCGTTTTCAGCAGCGAGTTTTATTAAACAGATGCCTAGAGCAGCGGTTCTCAACCTATGGGTCGCGACCCCATTTGGGGTCGATCGACCTCTTTTGTGGGGTCGCCAAACGCGGCGATCCGCCATTTTGTCCCCTCCGGGGGCGCGCGCCGCCTCCGGGGGCGGTGCCGCGCACGCGCGCTGCGCGTGGGGGCGGCGGCGCGCCTCCGGGGGGCGCCACCGCGCATGCGCGCCACACGTGGGGGTGGCGCCGCGCCTACGGGGGTGGCACCGCGCCTACGGGGGGTGGCGCCGCGCATGCACGCCGCGCGCGGGGCCCCGCCCCCATGCGCGGCCGCGCCGCGCATGCGCACGTTTGTGTGACGGGGGTCGCCGTCACACAAACGTTGAGAACCGCTGGCCTAGAGTTTCACATATGAATATTTTAACACTGAACCAGGACAACAGAGATACAGTGGGCAACTCTGGAGGCTGTCGAAATGGTGAGCAACAACAACTCTTCTGTGCAAACAGCCAGATCTACAACGACAATCCCTGTATGAAGAGGAGGCAAGCATCCATACACCGGCCATTTTTTAAATGTCCACAATGGGCTCCAGAGACAATAACAGCCAACAGGCCAAAAAGCTTTCAACCCTCATAAGATATAAACTGACTCAATATGGCTTCTCTTGTCAGACATGACGAATGATGAGAGGCCATCAAGTTATTTTTTTTTTAATATGCCTAAGGATAGTATTTGACTAATCCTCAAAAATATCCTGACACCGCAGAATATCTGCCCTAACCAGCCTGTCAACAATGGCAGATACCGAGATTTGTGACCACAAACATTTCTAATGGTGTGATTCTCAAGTATAAAAGACACCATACAGCAGTATTTATAATTTAATGCTAATTGGACCCCTGAAAAAACTAGCAGTAAGTCCCCGGGATACA